TAGAATGTACAAGGGTCAGGACCGTACAGTTAAAGATAAACTAAATAATATCTAGTAAAAATTTAATATATAATACAATAAAAAAAACTGTATACACCTACATATGTAAATAATAATAACACTTATGTATAAATAATAATAAACCTACACACATAAATACATATAACAAATACATAGATACATATATGTAAGGGATAGAGATTTTTGGGACTCGATTATTTATACCATATAGGACTTAGTGTGAATATAGATAGCTAGATATATCAATAGAAAAAGTATTCGAATACTTATCCGAATCCTCGGACACGAATCAGTATTCGATTCGTTTTTAACGAGTACCAAAATATTCGAATACTAAAAAAAGCCTATTCGGCACATCATTACCCCACACCAAACCCTAAGGACGCATCGCCTTATAACTTTCAGGAAACTTTACAATGATAATTGAAAATGCCACACATTTATCGCACACTCGTATATAATAACACTGTTAGTAATCGACACATACATAATTACATACATACACGTCACGCCCGTTTCTCATTAAAACAACCTTTTTCGCCTACACCACATTCATCAATATACAAGGTTACCGGTTATGTGTACAGATGGGCCGTGAGCTTGTTTTCGCAGTTTCAAAAAAAAAAATCACCGTCTACGATAACAATAAATTATAATGACACGTAATATCCATTACTTTAACACAATATTACAGAAAAAAAAAGTAAAATGAGACGACTTAATAAGATTACTGTTCTTTCAAATAGATTTCGAAAGGCGTTGTCACAATATCCATAATAAATCCCGCTTAGGTACATTGATTTAAAACGGAACAAGCTTACTGCCACCAATCTTACGAAATTTTGTTGCTTAACTGAATAGGTAACAGAACATACCATAAATTACTTTAAAATATATAGGCATTACTATAATATATTCAACAGACACTGAGATGCCGAGAGCTAGGCTTAGGTACGTTTATCTTGACCTAGCATGAAATAGGTTAACCATGGTATTTGTATCTGTTACTTATAATTTTAATGCTCTTCTTATATGATTGAAAAGTAGTTTGTCATGGTATGGGCATGTGATAAGTAGGAAAGAAGAGAATACGGTAAGAAAGGTAACGTGGGTTACGTATAAATGTGGATGGTTATAAGTTCAGAGGAAGATCCGAAAAAAAATGGACGGACTATGTGAAAAATCACACGACCAAAAAGGGTCTGACTAGTGAGACGACTGTAAACAGAGATGAATAGAAGAATATATGTAAAAACGCAAGAAGTAATATTACATAATTTACAAGACAAAAAGAAGGAAACTAAAAAAACTATAGGTACTACATTAGTCAAAACCCGCTCTCCTACAGGGAAATCTCATCGCGTCAATAACCAAAAATTTATTGATGTATATGAATTAATAAAAATGTTACTATTCGAAAGATGATTTCCATTCTATTATATATGTTACTAAATCAAATTGCATTTAAAAAGAGAACTGAACCCAAAATATTTTCTAATACAATCATTATTCAGTTTTATTGACTGTGTTTTCAAAATAGAATATATGTATATATATATATATATATATATATATATATATATATATATATATATATATATATATATATATATATATATATATATATATATATATATATATGGTATATATAATTTATTTGTTTCCCAAATAACAATGACAAAATAAAGAATAATACAAAACATTAATAAAGGAAAATATTGAGTAAAGTTGGCATCAACACCGTTTACCAGTTTCATTTATCTATCTTCTACTCCCTTGCGGGAAAGAAACAGTATTACTCTCATTCAGTATATTTTATCTCCTTTCCAATACCAATATATCTTTTATAAAACAAAATTAGTAAACCATAAACTACTTACAAAAAGGACGAATACATCTGTACCATTTCAGTACATGAGAAACAAATCTTCACACACTTATACGGACGGTACGTAATAGTGTTACGGAATTTATGGTAACCCTACTCCTGAGATGTAAATGAAGAGATACGGGCGCATAACATAAAACTTTTATAAGAGCAACATACGACGCGCCACGTAAATATAATATTCTCCGATACATTCGAACCAACTTCAGCATTATGAATAACTTGAAGATTTTTTTTACTGACGAATTTTTACTTTAGTAGATGTAGTCGATTGCTTTTTTCGGGCAATGTAAAGTGTTAAACATTAACAATCCTAATTGATTACGGAATTTTTTTATTGATAAATAATATATAAAACTTGCCGTGTAGATTCCGGCATAGAATAGGACACCCCTTCCTTTACCGTGGGTGTCGTAAGAGGTGACTAAGGGTGGAGAGATGGGCAGCAGCATCCCTTTTAAAACATCATCAACCAAAAGCGAAATTGCGGTCGCCAACCCGCCTACCAAGCTTGGCAACTACTGGCAAAACCCCCTTATGGGAGAGGCTATGTTCAGCACTGGACAGTTAACGGCTGTTACAACAATATAATAACTATATATAAAACTGGAATGGTAACACCGTCTGTGCTACTGTGTCCTAGCGACAGATTCTTGGTAACAATGAAGTCAAATTAGGTGGCTCGTCATCATGAATTTACCAAGAATTAACCAAGATAGTTTCAATCAGATCGTTGGCCCTCATAACTTGCAATCCCCTCCCCCACAGAATAATGTATGCACTTTATTGTCTTGTGTCACACATGACATGACAAATAGGCCTCAGGCTCTTTAGGTTGCATTAAACAAACTTTAAAGCAAAAAGATGGACTTTGAAATTGCTTTATTGATTGACATGATGCCAGAGTCAAAAACACATACAAACTTATAACACGCGACCCTCTGCGTCGACAATAAAAATAAAATACGAAGTAAGTAACAAATAAACAGTCTATAAAAATAACTATAAACAGTTGACATCGTCAAGGGAAATAAAGGCGAGACATATAATATTTTAAGCACACGTTTGGTCACTTCTTAAAATATTATGTTATCTCATATTTCTATGAAGTATGGTCGCCCTTTAGGTGCGTGGACAGCTATTTTCCGACGCTGTTTATCCGGAAATCTTTGTTGTTTATACGTCCAAGTTATGGATATTGAATTTTGTTTGAGCAAGGCCACTCTCATTTCGTATTCCCAGCATGTGTGCCCTAATAAAAGTTTTGTAAGAGCAAATGTAGGTAAATAGAGGTACGACTCTTCTGTTCTATTCAAAATTATTTGAAGCGAGTCCGTGATCAGCTTGTAGCAGTGCATGTAATATTGTATCTGGGAAACAGTTTTTTGTCTTGTTCCCTTCGACTGTTAACCGAAAAGACTTTCTTAAAAAGTAAAAAGACTATATGAATATGTGGTACATGTATTAAATATGTCACTGACATTTCTATGCGTGTTTAGTAAGCATAGGACGTTTTCCGCAGCGACTGACGACATACGAGTATATTGAATTTGAATACAAAATTCGTATGAAGCGATTTCTGATGAGCCTTGTCAACAAAGGGTGAAACCGGGTTTCCCTTTCGTTTGATATCATATGGTACGGAATATTCAATTCTTGAAATATAATAGTTCCTTAGTGATAACCGTAAATAAGTGATAGCTGAACTTTGTTAAAAAGAGCGACGTCACACTACATGCATGTCCGACGACAACGGATTACAAAGAGTAATTTTATACAGACAGAATCTAATTATATTTTACTAGCGGCCCGCTCTGATTTTGAAAGGCTTTTTTGTATAAAAATTAAAACAGCCAGATAATGTAGTTTCCTATATGTAAAAGAATTTTTAAAATCAGTGAGTCGTTGTTGTGATGATATGTGTGACGGGCAAACATACAAAAAATCAAATCTTTTCTCTTTAGAATATTATATGACAGTGAAATTACAAAGTACAGAAACATAACACCAAAGTTCTTAGAAACGGGCATTTTAGCCATTTAGTTCTATTAAAGTCGTGCTGCAAATAGCAGGCCTAAGTGCCTGTAATGTGATAGAATTGAACAATAGAACTGTACGGATACATTCGAAATGGCAAAGCACTAATTGTACGATTGGCACGGTGCTGTTCATATCTATAGGGGAGTATTACCACTTTCAATCAAGTGGACCCTCAGTTTTCGCCACTCTAAGTACCATAAAAAAAATTCTTATGTAAAAAAAAGTAAAGTGGAATAAAATTTTGTACTGGTTCAAAAATATTGAAACCCATAAATTCCATGTACATTTTAAAAAGAATAACTTCATTCGGATTGGATAAATTTTATTTTTACTTTTTTCGTCGCATGTTTTTGCTGAATTGAATTCTCTAATGAGGTTTTTATTCAACCTTGAAATGATAAGTTAAAGATTCCAATCCTACTACTATTTTTATTTTTAACTTTCAACGACAATGGTTGATGTTTCATTCACGTTGGAATACTCTGTCTTATTATCTATTATGTTTCACTGAAAATCAATCCATACATTTGTTGTTACGAATTTCTTTTCAACTATAGCGCCATCTGCCATTATCCACTGTAACAACAAGTATTGAAGCACACCAGTGTGCTACAGTTCAATTGGTAAAATATTTCCATTCTTTCATATTAGTGTCATCATGTGTATTGTAACATTTGACATAAATATAATGTTTATTAAAATCATAGACTTCTGCGGTAAACATCATTAACATATCAGCTGTTTTGTTCACTGCTGAACATAGACCTCCTCCATAAGGGAGGCTTTATAGTTATAACACTTGGCAGGCGGGTTGGTAACCACAATTAGGCTTTGGTTACGTTCCACAGACAGTAGTACAATACCTTGTCTATAAACAAAGTATATACTATTTTTTTCCTGTTCATAATTTATTCATTCATTCATCATCCTTACGTACTCTTAGCGGCTGTAGTCGTATACGTGGCAATGACCCACGCTCGTATATATTACAAAAACTGTGTATGTGATAGTACGTCCTATTCGCTCGGCACTACAATGAGTATGGACTGACCTTTATATGAGGCAGTGCAAGCAATCTCCGCAGCTCGTGTATGGCGGAGGCGGTGGCGGGCGTAGCGGCAGCGGGTGCAGCGCCGGCGTGCCGCAGCCGTGCAGCCGCTTCAAGCGCTTGCCGACACCGAGCGCGACCTTCCGCCGCCGGCGCCCGACCACTTGTCACCACTACCGTGCACGCGATGCGGTCGTATACCTGCCGATACAGTTAAGGAATTAATAATACATACCACACAATCACGTTGAATGTCTTATCCTCAAACTATGATACCCTGTATGTATTATGTGAAATCAAACAATTAGGAGTAAAAGATCTTATCCATTATATGTAACCTGAGTTAATTCAGAAACGTTGGTTTCATAAATTGAATAGTGGCAAATCACTTATATGAAGATATGTGTGAGTAAATATTTTCCCATTTAATTTTAAATTAGATAGTTGCAAAAAACTAAAGTCGTCGCATTGCTTACGTTATATAATATTTTAATATACATTTAATTACATTAATTCTGTATAGATCTTAATGCGCAAAATTCATAATTAAAAGCATTGAGAAGGAAATTAAATTAATAAATTACCAGAAGGAGACTTTGTACAAAAGTCGATTGCTTGGGTACCTCTGTCCTATTCGTGTTTCAATCGTAAAGCACTTGTGTTTGCATGGCTGTGTTTCGGTTTGAAGGGTGGGATATGGCGTGAATTTACTGGGTACGGAGGAATAACACCTGAGTCCTCAGGAATAGCAACTCATGGAGGGTATCATGGGCGAAACAGTATACTCTGTTATGTCCATGGTACTGCTCATGTCTATAGGTGACGGTTACCACTTTCTATCAGGTGGGCCGTCAGCTTGTTTGCCATTCTGTTGTATAAAAAAAAAATATCTTGAAAAATCAAACTTAAAGATAATCTTACCTCTAGAAGTGCTCTCAACTGCAAATCGTCAAGCACACTATGGAACAAATCAGGATCCATGAACGTTGGTCCATCCTGAAGTACTGATACGTCATCCAAGGACTCCACTACTAGATTCACAGCTGCAACAAAACATAACATTATAAGCACACATTATAATGAAGAAAAAGTGAAGCTTCTAAGAAATTTCTCTATATATACCGAAATAAAAAAATCTGAAATATACGATCGGAAACATCACGAAGCTCAACAGAGCTAATATCTACTATAGCAAATTAGTACAACTAGTAATTTCTCTCCATTTTTTTAAATCTTTGGCACAGCGAATTAAAACTCAAAGCAATTCATTAGTGCAATTAAATTACGAAGGATGACTGTGACGGCCAGTATAGTTGTTTTTATTCAGTAATCTTATATGATAAATTTAAGACCCGAAAAAACAGATAGGATATTAGGTATGAAATAACCCCATTTTCAACCCCAGAAAACTATCGTTTATTAATTATATATATATATATATATATATATATATATATATATATATATATATATATATATATATATTTATATATATATTATATATATATATATATATATATATATATATATATATATATATATATATATATATATATTATGTTTTTCTTTTATTTTTACAAGTATTCTCAACAAAAATAAATTCCTTCCTTTGCAAAAAATAAAAATATTGGCCATTTCAGAAAAAATCTATATACAATGCCATCTAGGGGAAACAAAGACAAGTAACAACAACAGCTAGATGTCGTTGCACATAAAAAAGACAAAATTATCAATTTCAATAATAAAAAAAATACATTACTCACCAGCAGCGTTGGCCTCTTCCAACATGACCTGACGCCGAGCAGTTTGCTCTTCATCTTCTTCGTCATCGGCGGCCGCGGCTGCAAGAGTAGCGGCGCGAAGACGCCGCCGACTGTTGAACTTCTTAAGCTCTTCCACTGTTCCCGCCAGATGAATACGGTTTTGCTTGTCACGGTCCTGTAAAATACTTTATAGTTATCTATATAAACTAAATTAATGTTCGCAAAATCAATATTGGTCAGTTACGAGAACAAACCTAATAGATTGCAGAAGAAAAACAGTCTGTTTAGTATTTACGAAGATATCGCGTAGCATGCACAAAAAATACAGGCAAATTAAGAGGTTTTTTTCTACCTCAGTGGAGTAACTACCTGCTATAATGTATGTATAGTCATGCCATGACTTGACGTTCACGACGTTCATATCAAATTAATTATAAATTGTTAACTTTGTACTGATTTTTTTTTCATACGCGTGAACAGGATCTATTAATTATTAATTATTTTTATATCAACCCTTAACTGTCCACTGCTGAACATAGACTTTCTCCATAAGAGGAGTTTTGCCAGTTGTTGCTAAGCTTGGCTGGCGGATTAGCAACTATAGTTAGGCTTTGGTGATGTTCTAATAGGGACGCTGCTGCGCATCCCTTGACCATTTATTTCCCTTAGTCGCCTCTTACCACACCCACGGGAAAGAAACGGGTAGCCCATTCTATGCAAGGACCACACGGCATCGTATTAATTGACCAGAACAAATAGTAGCCTATGTCCTTCTCCATTCTAAATACACGTACGAGTAGTACCTATAGCAAATTTCATTTCATTCAATTAGTCAAGTCGTAAAGTATCAAGAAATAACAAATAAACTCAATTCCACATATATAATATTAATAAAGATTAAAAAAGTGTAGAAACCACAAACACGTACCCTTATCCATCGATGGTTGAGCACCTCTTGGATATTGATTCTTTGAGTGTGGTCCACTGTGAGCATACGTTGGACTAGATCTTTGGCGGCGTCGCTTACATCGTCCCAGAGGGGCGCGTCGAACTATGAACGTAACAATAATGTACAATTATTTGTTTTATAGTAGTGATGGAGTACGAATAAGACGTGTCAGCACCCCTTATTGTCCTTAGTAAGAAATAGCTAAGGAAATAAACTATACAATAATATCTAATACATAAGGAAAACTCGAAAATACCCTATACCAATCCAACTGGCTGGGAGAAGGGATTGTTAATAATGGAGATTAGTAGCCCCATTGCTAGCAATACTTCCTGTCAGGTCGACCTTCTAGCTGTTCCCCCTAGAAACAGTCGTGTTCTATTCCAAGTGAGTTCATCACGTTGGCTAACTGACATGCCTTTTCATTCTCACCTATCATCCATCACTGATGCCCCACCAGCGTATACCGTTAGCGCAGGCGAGTTTACCATTATATTATCATCCATTAAAAAACCCCTGTGATATTTTGGTAATATTCAAAGCTCACCCTCAATCTCCCACGGCAGATAGCTTCAAACAATCTTTCCCGTGTACCGGTGAATGGCAGGTATCCAACTAGGAGTACATGTAGTAGGATGCCAGCGGCCCATACATCTACAGGCTTGCCGTACAGCTGGCTGGAAACTACCTCGGGAGCCATGTAGTGAGGAGTGCCAATACGACCTAGGGAGAACAGTTTTATTATGTGTTTTATATAAAAAAAAAATTAAAGCATGTCTTAGTCCAACTTGCTAGGCTAAGGCCTCGCGAATAGTATGGCTGAAGAAAATTGGCTTTTGGCAGAAGTGGCTACTTTCATACACATTCAGAATTATATGTGTGTCACAGAGTTGTAACTACAAAGCAAAACGAAAAATATTTTAAAATATAAAAAAAAATTGCCATTACGGATTTATAAATTTATAGTCTAAACTAAATATGGCAAGGCCTAAGATCAGCAGTGGACAAAGAATATCTGAAGTCATGATGATAATGATTAAAATATATGGATTTATATTGTTATTTAAAGGAAATGGGAAATTCTTCTAGAATACATTTATCTCATTTTTCACAGTAATAATTATGTTCGTACATAATAAGTTATGCAAGCTCTCACTAAATATCTAAACTATCTCACTAAATAGACGTAAAGTTCTGTGTCTGTTATATGATGTGTTTCATTGACGATATTTAAAATTCTAGTTAATTTCTAGCGCAAAATTATAAAAAGAAAATGAAACAAAAATATTTTACCTTGGAATTCTTTTTTGTTTTTAATTTTGAATTTGTGAAAAATATCCTTTACACCAGCTGTTACAGGCATATACAAAAATAGATTAAACAGCAGACTTATAAACTTGCAATGCCATCTATGTATAAAAGAAAGCACTATGACTGAACTTACAAGTTCAGTTTTCACTGCCATCTAGTGCACGTTTGCTCAATGTTAAACCAATTTGAAGTACAATTGGGTAAATACCCTTTAAATTACAAAAAAATGAAAACAAAAATTATAAATTATAATGAGATATCTATAGTTTAATTTACACTAATCTATTGGAATATAATAATATCGCGCGATTTCCATTAATTTCACAAAACTTTTTATTAAAACAAAAACTTTATAAATTTTTACTTATGATATAAATTTTTTTATATATCACTCTAATCAAGAAAATAAAAAAAAACCCTATGACAATGTTACCATTACATTCTAGTTTTTAGTATATATTTATTATTTGTAAATATTATTGACAAGACTAAATAACATAAAATCTAAATTATTTTAATACATTTGTATTGGCACAAGCGAGCTGTTATCATGATAATGTAACATGAAAGCCATATCAACATTCAAGCATACGATTATTAGATATACATAATCACAATAAGAGCTCAGTCAAACAAACGCCTATGGCATAATTCTAACAAACTGCCTGCCGTATTTATTAGACCACAAATAGAAAAGAATACTGCCTACTGTGCTTATACAGTATAATTCAAAACTACGTTAAAGAAGAAAATGGAATATTGATTACTTGGCAATTATTAATTGTCAAGTACAATTATTAATTGTTATGCCTGGCTGTACATACTGTACCTGGCTGTATATACTGGCAAAAACTACCCTTATGGGGGAAATTATGATCAGCAGTGGACGGTTAACGGCTTATACAATAACAATTATTAATTGCGAATCTTTTTTCCTTATAGAAATATTCCAAAAAAAAATTGTGAACTGGTATTCCATGAGAATTAATATCAAGAAATACAATCATAATTTACTTTTTGTAAACATAAATTCCGCTATTTTGTAAAGACATTAGACAAAAAATCATGGAATTCCATAATTTCTAATTTTAATCATATCCACTACAAGTGCTCTTTAAATATTCATAAAAGAAATTAACAATATATATATAGATAAATAGTGATTGCCATATCGTTATTTATTTTAGTATCTTTATTAAATTTTTGTATTATTAGTCAATTGAATTATTATAATCAGTTAGTTTTTTTTATCATTAGTCAAAAATTTCTACTTACTTGAGTGCTATTAGTTAATGGATAATAATATATCGGACGACGTAAATACTAAATGGGTATTTTTACACACCATTAGTTAAGATACCCATTTGAATTCGCCCGATTAAATATTATCCTAAGTAAATAATGACATAAACATATAACGTCAAATACTTACTTTAGTTTATGAAACGATTATTAGACAATACAATGATTTTGATAGGATTGTACATCAAGACTATCACATGTTATACCGGGGAGTTAGTATGATGAATTTTAAGAGGCCACTATGCTAAGAAACGAAACGTAATAATGCGATATCCTGTCAAAATGTATGTTTTTTTTTTTATTGTCTATTAACATATTATTAGCATTATTTCCGATTAACTCAGAATGGACATAATTATGATGCAAAGAAATTCATTACGTGGATGAACGTAATGCGAGGGGTCAATCATTCAAAAGATGTGTTTACCATGAAAGATAATCTAATTAAAAGAGGAAAACCAATTAGAGGAAAAATATTAAGTATTGTGCTGACCCAAAAATTTGCCAAAAAGTAAAGATAAGATTAACAACTTACGGTGTAGGATACACCCGCATCCGTCACTTAAAAATCGCTTCTATCTAGTTTCTAGTAGGATTCTAATAAGAATTGTAATTAAAAAATAAAACAATTTGACAGGAGATCATATGGTCCCATTTCATAGCGAGAGCGACCACTCAATGTGTTACTGTGAGGTGCTAATGTAAAAAATCGGTTAATACGTGATCCGTTTAAGCGAATTTGCACTTTATTGTCTGTCGCGTAAGACATATGGTGTTACATTGTGATTATGACTGGAGACAAATGTGCTGATGGAAACTGCACATAATGTCCATGCAGTTAGGGTACAACTTCACTGTGGAAGTCTTACCGTACTCGTCTGATTTGAGATACGCTTGGCCCATAGGACCCATTAGCGGTCGATTGTCCATCACCAATTCTGTACAATACAATCAACTGTCATGAACTCGTTATTATAATTTTAGTTATTAAGAGAAATTATATTGTTTAATAACATTAGTTTTAATTATCAGAATCAAAGACACAGGATGAGTAGTGTTTTTATTTATTACGAGTAATCCACCTGATGGAAAGTGGTTAACTTCGCAAAGAAACATTAACAACACCATGGACATTATAATAATATAAAAATAAAGTTATTTTATCAAAACTTTCTAATTGAGATGTTTATGAATATATGAATACAAACATTTTACACCAATAAGAAAAATAAGTAGTAAAGCACTCGCCTATAGTAAATAATAATAAACAAACATTGAATAGTTTGACTAAATAATATAATACCACTACAAGTACCAGAAGATAAATTATAAACAAATAAATAAATGAACATAATTAAAAAGACATTATATAAAAAAAAGCATTTAAAATTATAATAAGTACTTCAATTTTCGACATACATTCAACATTAATTTCAAATTACACTAATAAAATTAAATAATTATGCAAAACACTAAAGTCGAATACTAAAATATATAGAGAAATATTTGTGAAACATAACAGTTTTCTAATCAATCAACTTTACAACAAGAGTTAAAAAACTAATAAATTTCTATGAACCATATATGCAAATAAATTTCGCATATAAATTACGATAGTCAGTATGTATAAAAAATATAATGTGATTAAAAATGTACTGCACTTAATTTAAGGGATTATGTATAATAATTAAGCAAATTAATATAAAATTTTATAAATATATCAGAATTAAAAAAAAAATCTACTTTTTATTTACAATGTTACTCAGTACTATGATTTTGTACTATTACATAGCAGTTATTGCCCCTAGATGGCGTTATGTATAGAAACTCACAACTTTGTTGCTACTTTTGTTGTTATTATGCAGTAATCTAATCAAATATTTGCAGTATATTTTTAAATATCACAACAAAAAAAAATACTAAAACATAAAACTCTAATCATGAAACATTTTTCTAGAAAAGACACCTACTCATTTTTATTAAATTGTTTATATTTCCTAATATACATTACCTGCTACATGACTATTCAAATTGTTTGATGGTACTCTACTTTCAATGCACATCTGCAAGGTGACTTTTAACATAATCAAATTGGGATTGAACAGATGTCAAACAAAGTGAAATAGTAATAGTGTGTACTGAAGACACAAACTCTATGTATCTAAGTATCGTCCGTTTGACGTCTATTCAATACCATCAAAAGTCAGCCTGCTGGATTCAATAATTACAATACGATCAAAATAAGAATAGAAACATCAATGACCTCGACTAGTAAACTTAAACTTTAAAAATATAAATTAGGATTTTGTAAGGAATTTACAAGGGAAAAGTGCACAGTTCCACTATTATTATTACAAAATATTATACATATATAACATACATACAAATGACTAAATTCGAAATGTCATATCATTCTCAAAGACAAAAATTGTTAGTAGATACTGCTACGAATTATAATGCATAGAGCAACACGCTAAACAGAAACGTCACAAACTGATGGAAGATAAATATCTTAGAATTACTTATTTTGACAGCTAAAACGTCAAAATATGATGGTAAATCAGTCCTATCCTTATTTTGATCACCATATGTGAGCTTACTTTTTTTTTAATTTTTTATTTTAACAAACCTGGAGGCGCGCGATGTGATGTCGGTGTGGGCAGCTGAGCGGCAACACCAAACCCGCCAAGCTTGACGGGGGCGCAATTATCCCGGCCTGCGAGCAGCACGCAATGCGGCCGAACATCGCGGTGTACGATATCGTTTTCGTGGCAGTAGCGCAGTGCTTCGAGTATTTGACGCATGTAGTGGCTGGAAGTAAATAATCTTCATACATAAAAATCCCGTGCCACAACGCTCACTTACTGTAATCTTTCAAACTGCTCAACCGATTTTAATTTTGTAAATAGGTATTGTTTGCTCTAATTTGAGAGACAGAAATGAATATATTCAAAGAAATAAGAAAGAACTGATACGAAACGACGAAACATTTTTAAAAATACAGTACAGTGATTTATTTATTCTAAGTAGTATTAAAATGTATAATGATAACTCCATAAAGATTTTAAATTTATAATACGTCAATTATTCAATCACGCTCAAATGGTTGAATGGACTTGAATAAGATTCACTCTGCCACTTCACGCGAGCAAAGCAAGGAAATATAGCTAGTTCAAATTATCCAACTTACCATGCTACAGCCTCGCTGTAGACAAAACCAGCGCTGGCCCTGCGTACCACTTCAAAGCAGAGATCAGAACCATCCATACTGAAAAATACAATGTTGAATTTTTCATTTACAATACAATAAAAGTTAAAAAACAATACAGTAACATATTATAACTGCCAATGTATGATGAAGATAATATCCTTGACAATATTGTGTACTGAACTGTCTGAAGAGAAGTCTATTAGACTAGTGCATGAACTTATGTATTACAGACAGAGACCTCTAGTACTTGGTCCTGTCTATTTACTATGTAAGAGACAGCACGAAAATATATATATATTAATAAACAGAAAATAATGTAGAAGAAAGATAATTTATACATATTACAGGGTACAGAGCCATAATACCTTAATCCTCAGTAATGGCAATGCATGATTGACATCATGGCCAACACTATTGTCCCTGGTATTGTTCATATCTATAGGCGACAGTTATCACCTTCAATCAGGTGGTCTGTAAACTTGTTTTCCATTCTAAGTAGTATAAAAAATAAAACAATATTAAGGTAAATAAAAATGAAAGACTGCCTTTGTTTTATCATTCTAAACAATTTCTTGTCTCTATCTACAACATACTCATACATTTAAATGAATGAAAACTCTTTATTATTCCCTTTAAAGAATGATGCAGATTATAAAGATTATATATATATTGCTTGCAGTTAGGTTAGGTTAGGTACTTTTAAATATATATATAATTAATATAAAATTAATATATAACTTAACCAGTCAAAAGTACTATTGACTAGCAAAATTAGCCAAAAGTACTTTTGACCGTATGCTTTAGTCAATAATACTTTTGACTAAAATACCAGTTAAAAGTACCTAACCTAACCTAACCGCAAGCAGTCAAAAATGTGCCAATGTGCTTAAAAGTTACGTAGATTGCCTACGTAACTTTTAGGTTAAATGACTCTTTAGTTTAAATTACTCTTGAGGTTAAATGAGGAATATTCAGATAAACTAAACTATTAGCACAGATAAATACTTACTATTCAAAGACCATGTACAGCATTCCCTCGGAACTGTATGTCTCAAGTAACTCCACAATATGTGGATGCTTTAGCATGTGGCATATTGTAGCCTCTCGTTTCAGATCTGGAACATCGTTTAATAATTTTTTTATAATCATGTGTCAACCATATATAAGTATTTTTTGGCCCTTTAGTGTCTGCATTCATTATTATTGCCTTGTCTTTTTCCAATTATTTGAGGTCAGCACAGTATGTCTTCTTCTTTCACAAATCATTGTCAACTGTCATTTCTGGGCTCACTGCTCTTTTATGCATATCATTTATCACACAATCCATCCACCTTTTCTTCAATTGTCCCCTTCCTTTACATTCATCCACTTTCCTACTTAACACTAATTTAACTGAACAATGTCTGTACATGGAAAATATTTCAAAAATTCATATAAAGCTTTTTAATAGGATCAATAGAAGCCAAAATAATATTTTTTAGAATTTTTGTCTGTCTGTATATTTGTTCTGACGTCACGAAAAACTACTGCACCAATATGAATATAGTTTTCACTGTTATATCCCTAAAGGTCTAACTTAAAAACTGGTGTATGTTTTAGTTCCAGAACATATAGAGATGGTTTATTTAATTGAATTTCCTCCTGAAATCCGTGCATACGAAGTAGTAGGCAAGAAATTAGTCTTCAATATAGACAGATTGCAGATATTGTAGATACTTACAAAAAATGTGCTCATAATCACTTATTTGTTTGAAAATAGAAATGAGGTAAGAATTAATGCTCTTTAATCAATACTCTTATCTTTCTTGCATCATCTAGTCAACTAATCAGCGAAATGTTATATGATGTAGTGTAATATGATATGGTAAAGCAAAATATACTGTGACTTCTTTATACTTATTTATCTATTATCCAAATTCTCAAAGTATAGAATGGGTTAGGTATCACCAATTGATAATTTGATAACATCCTTTGGAAAATGGTTATTTGGAAATATATGAGTATGTATAGGTAGATAACCTAATGCAATTACTTCATTATGCCAGGAAACACTTTAATCTTTAAAATATATATATATATATATATATATATACCTGCAGTGCTTAGTCCAGGGCTAGCGGTGAATCGAGCCACATCAACAATCTTCACTGCAAACTGCTGTCCAGTTTGACGGTGAACACAACGGCGGACCAAACTAAATGGTCCCCTGGAAATGATCACACAAAAAGATGTAAGACAACATATGTCTGTTGGAGGGAAGGGATTGTTAATAATGGGGACAGACAAGAGCCCATTGCTAGCAATATACCATATAAGGTCAAACTCCTCGCAGTTCCATCTGATCTTTTTTTTTTACAACACAGGGGGCAAACGAGCATGCGGCTCACCTGATGGTAAGTGACAACCGCCGCCCATGATCACCCACAACACCAGCATCATTGCAGGTTGCATGCAACTTAATTAATAGTTATAGTTAATAAAATAAAAGGCATGATTTCATCCTCACCTATCATTCTTCATTATTATTCTATCAGAGTGAACAGATAGCAAAGGTAGGGTTGCCATAACATTATCATCTTAAAAAATATGTACCTGCTATGTACAGGTATATATGTGTAAAATTTGATGAAAATTTGTCTTATACATTAAGATAAAATTCTGCTTTATTGCTTGTCTATATGATGGATCATAATAGCATAATATATGAGTAGCCAGGGTCGCATGACATAATGTAAATTTATAATGTATAATATAGGAGTACAATATAGGTAAGTTAATACAATTTAATGATGCAACTACAGATAATAGTTAAGTGTTTTTGCAATATAATATGATTAAGAAGAACAACACTAATTAAAAATGTTTAATAACATAATTATTCATATCCCTTTTATTACAAATGAGTTGTGTTATCTTATGTTTTGACAAATTGAATAAGATAATTTAGTATTTATCACAGCTAAGTATAGAATATAATAACTTTATTACGATCAAACATAAGACTTGATTCAGAAGTACCATTTATTAAACCTTATTCTAAATTTAAACTATATCTTTCATATTCTACACACTGTAGCATGGTGTGACTGCCTGTAAACTTTTTCTAATTTTTACTGTAAAACAATAATTTTTGGAGTCATATCAATATAGTCCATCTAAGGACCATACTTAATATTTTGTCACAATCAAATATTTTAATAAATATGCACATTTTAGTAATTTGTTATATATGGTCTTAATGATCAGTCACACACCATGATTCAATACACAGAGTATAGTTATAAATTATGTTGTAACCTATTTCAGACGGCTGCAAATATATGTGGCCTGAGAAAAAAGTTTGAATATGACAACCCTAGACCATTAGTCTCCAATTTATCTAATTATTGATAATAAAAAATCTAGAATAGGCAGAAACTAAAAGTGACTGATAACATATTTATTCACTAATATTTAACAAAATTTTAAACTTCTAAACATTCAGTGGTGTTTGTAATAATACGGGACAAAATATTCTTATAAATTTTATAAAATTATATAACATTTAAATAACAACCTTCATATTTACATTAAATATTCAACTTCCCTTATGTTTTGTTTTATGAAAAAAAAACTTAGAGATGAAATAAAAAAAAAATGTTTCTAACAACTAACAGTAAGTTCACTGAAATCAAAATTTCCAGTTATATATAATTGCTCATAGACAATTATTTACTTATTAATTGAGATTCAGGGAAGTTTTAAATTTACCTTTTTTAAGGGAATGTGTATTTTAGATTTTTTGTATATAAATATGGTAATCAGATAAAGTTGAATAACTATATGATTTAAATAATAATGATATAAAAATAACATTTTAATACAAAAAAATATTTATGACATATTCAAGTAAGAGTAAGAGATTATAGATAGCCTTTAGGTAAGCAAATAGATTTTAAAATTATATTATTATGTGCCTGAGGCTTAACTATAAATATGTGTAAAAATACTTACTTGCCAATAATTTCGCATAATTCATACACTTCATCGAATAAAACTTCGTCATCAGCCATTTTGCACACAAACACAGTTTACTAAGTTTCAGAAAAAGGTAAAAAATATCATTTTAGCACAGCCTTCATCCAGGGAATACTATGGTTACGCCCAGAGACGATTTTCGTAAATTACAAGGACACTATACATTAAATGAACACCAATTGATATCTCAACAGGAAGTCTTGTATTTCATTATTAAATAATACACAAAAATTAGTGTACCAGCGTAATTTGTGCATTTTCAAGAGAAAATTTAAGAAAATCGCGAAACATTTGATGCGAAACTGTAAAATGACACTAATAAATTACACTCACGATTTGAAAGATAAAAATTTAATATTATAGTAAAAGATAAAGTGCGGATTAATAAATATTAGCAAAAGAATGTAATTTTTCATACAATATCAATTTATATCAGAAAATATTTTTTTATTTACTTTTGACATTCCGAGGGTTGCAAAAATTCGGAATGAAGTTAGCAGCGCGAAATTTGGTGTTGCCATAATATAATAAATTTCTAACCTAAAAAATTATATTGTTGCAGTGACTTTTATACAGAAAGAAATAACCGGAAGTTAACATGAATAAAACCATTTGGCCTATTATAAAAACGATAAATTAATATCTAGCCAGTATTTATTTGCCATAATCCTTATTTAGCTACTTATATTATGAATAGGAAAATGAGTTTGTTACGTCTTGGTACCTTAACGGCTTAATCCATTGTTATGAGATTTGGTATACATGTAGGTACTATATTGGATAAAAAAGGAAAGAGGTTACTATTTATTCCGATCAATCAATATATCTCTGTTATGAAGATGACATCACGAGTGATAGCTAGTGACTGAATAAATAGAACCTTATAATTTCGTAGGGTATATATATCCTATCCGTGTAATAACAAGCACATTATCTAATCTTCATTAGATCCAACTTTATAGTAAGATTTATTATAAAAATTATATATATATTTTTTTAATTATAAATATTCTAAAATATTTAAAATTAACTCTTTCATAGTTTTGAATTAAGAACTATTGATACTTATTTTCTCCCAAAACCATAGGCGTATTTAGAGGGAGAAGGGGGGAGTGGGCCGTGTCCATTCCAGAACTGTGTAGTGGCTTAGAATAAGAAGCAGAGCATTCAACAATAGACAAAAACATGTCTAAGGGACATATGCGCCTTTTTATGTAGCCAGACAAAGGAAAATAGTTATAAACACCCAAATGCTCAAAACACAGACAGACATATAGACACATAAATAATTTTAATCAGGATTAGATCGATTGTGCAACAGAATAAGAACCCTTAATAATGTGGAACATGAAGTATTTATGTGAGGAAGAAATAGGTGAATTTAAAATTAAAATACTTTAGGAAAAAATATTTTATTGAATATTGTTATGATATTTATATACTCATGACAAATTTACCTAATTGTCTCTTAATAATATAAAACATACATACACATTCAAATGTAAATTAATTATGTATAAGTTCATAAGAGATTATTTAAAATAAATAACTTAATTTCAATCAATAAGATTTATATTATAGCATACTATATACGAATAATCTATAAGGGAAATACCACTCAGAAATAATATAAAACATCAATCCTACTTAATCTATTTTTCTAGATTTCTTACATAGTTACACACACTAAAAAAATATTATTCAGACTTTTCACGAGAACAGGAAAAGTGGGCTATATTGCACTTTCGATGTAATATTAATATCAGTTCATGTTTTTTATGTTATCATAACTAATATATATTATTATATAATGGTATATAATGTAGTAGTAGTCAGTTAGTCGTATAATTCGCCGAGTGGTCTCTGCTTAGAATGGGTCGTCCCTTTCTTTCCCGTGGATGTCATAAGAGGCTATTAAGGAACTTAATGGTCGAAGAATGGGCAGCAACGTCCTCTTTAAACATCACCAAAATCTAACTGCGGTTGTCAAACCGCCTGTCAAGGTAGTAAAACCTACTAATAGAGGAAGGCTTATATTCGGCACTGGATAGTTGACTAATGATGAAAAATCAGTTAAAATGATGACTACTGTAAAATATATAACTTAAATAAACAGACCGCCATGATATACTCAGGTAATGGAATAAGTAACTAAAATTATTCTAATACTTTTTTGATAAAACATCCATAAAACATAAGTTACAATATTAATCGTTTTCCCATTTTACTCTAGCATTGGAACTAAAAACCAATGACTTAAGACCAATAAAAATAAAAATTAAAACCTGACAATATAAATTTAAAAATAATACTTTTGGAAATTATATAATTATATAATTACAAGATTTAACTTATAATGTAACTTTCTGTCTTCTTTGATATCTAGTTTCTGCACACAAGATTGTTGTTTGTTTAATAATATTATTGTCAGAGTTAATTGGACAACACACAAACATTATAAAAAAAAATACTTGATAATTTACGTATCACAATTAAATCTAGTACCGTTGTTTACTTTCTGTTTAAAATATTCACAACTAGGCACTGTTACAATAAGTTCAGAATCTGGATACTTATTTCTTTGCAATTTATTAACATTGACTATGTAACTACATTGATAGTCAAGTTCGTAAATCTCAAACGTAGTTTCCTGCAAAAAAAAAATAAAAAAAATATTAATAATTATTTTTAATTATTAAAACATACTTAATTTTTAGCACATTGGATAAATTTATTACAATTCTAATTGGTAATTTCTGCAATATGGTAACACTGTGCAGGAAGTCTCAGGAAGACTTTAATTTTAGACCGTGACTATCTTCATAGTCATGCTCATGTCATTATTTTCAAAAGGGAATTGGCGCTTACTGTTTCGCGCATAGATACGTACATAGGTACCTATATAATAGCTGTTATATATAGTTTTTTTTTAAAGGGTGATAATAGAATGACAATTCCGTTTTCGCCATTGGTATATGCTGGCGGGGTACTTGTGGTAGATAATAGGTGAGGATGAAAGCAGGTTAGGTGGTCATTTAACAACAATTAACCACGACGGTTTCCAGCGAGAACCGCGTGGAAGTCGACTTGTTAGGATATGTTACTAGCAATGGAGCTGTTACACCCAGTTACTAACGATAAAGCACATCCTACTTTTACAATAGATAATAAGGTTAATTATATACCTCAGTTGTCGCTGAAAAGTCTTTCTTGAGCTTCTTTGGATTTTGACATTTCTGTGTTCTCCAGTACACGTAGTATCTTAAAAAAATAATAATTTATATATTAAATAACTACCTATATAAATTGTAGAGTTACGGTTCGTATAAAACAGATTAAATGGAAATAAATGTATATTAAAAAACTTATTAGAACTATATTATTCAACATCATCTTTTTTCTCTTATCTAAACTGTATGGTGTTGGAGTAATATGATTTATACAGAGGTGGTATATTGTTAGGCAAGTTTCCTCCCAAATTCCCCCTCCCCCCTCCTGGGTGGTAAAATTGGTAGAAATCTACAAACTTATGTTAAGACTAGCCTTTGCCTGAGAATTTTTTCGCATTATCGGGATATGGTCAATAACAGTGATAAAAAGGAGCCTATTTCCTTCTTAATTCCAATAAGTACGTGTATTCATTCTCATTTATCATCTATCACTGGTTCCTCACCAACGTATACCATTAGCGCAGGCGGGGTAACCACATAATACTAATACTACTATTTGTGGTGTAATACTACAATTTGTAGTAATTGATTAAATCGTTAAGATGTTAAGAGGTCACATAGAAACACACGTACTTTCATATTTATATTAATATTTAAGTACCTAAGGATTGTAAAGAAAATAAAAAATAATTTACTTTCCGCGCTCTTCATTGTTGGCGACTGGGTCCCATGAGATTTTCGCTTTCAGCCTGTTGCTATTCCACAACACTTTATGTAGCTTCAGTCCTTTTATTTTCCTATCACGTTTTCTTAGTAACTGCGGTGGTGAATCTAGAAATATAAATAATAGTTATCTATATTTTATTATTTATATTTCATAATTTTATCCTATTCTGTTTTATTGTATATTGAGCAGTTGTATTTTGTAAATAATAATAGTTGCAATTTATACCTACATATGTCTACTAACTATATATCCATTAGCTACTTTAGTACAACTCAAGTCCGTATTTTATGATATAGATTAATACTAGTTAAAGGTAGTATCGGTATCCCTTTACAATATCTATATTTTACTTACTTTCGAACACTAAGACGAAAAAAAGGTCATCATTCAATTTGATGTCGCCAATACCAATCCGACATTTCTATTCATTTAAATAGGGGGTTCTTCACTTACTTATTATATATTACATAAATGATTTGTAATATATTTTTTTTTGTAATATATATATATATATATATATATATATATATATATATATATATATATATATATATATATTATAATTAAAATATATAGATATTGGTATATATTACCCACCCTTACTTAATATCTTAACATATATAGGTAGTTTTATAATTACAGCTATCATATCTCCATGTCATAATGAAATATTAATACCGGCACGTATTAATGCTCGTTATAAATAATCATATAAATTGCCTGATTCTAAGCTTGAATATCCTCTATAGCATTTATGTGAATCCAGACAACCTATACGTTCGCAACTCGAACATGCAGATTCGAGTCAATTTAGTAAAGTTCTTAAATTGGCATTTGATATATCTATATAAGTATAATAACTATTATAAGTAAGTATGTATCAATATCAGCGACTTGCTGATACTTAGACAAACGGTTTTTGGGTACGATACATAATTATACTCTGTATAGAATAATTATATTGAATAAATATTTATAAAAATAAAAAATAAAGTAAGTAATTTACCTACGGGTATATCGGCTACTAACGCAACGATATCAAGTCAAGTTTTAAGACAATGTACCTTGTTTCTGGTTGACATTAGAACCAGGGGTATTATAAAATACAGCAGCTTTGTCGCTCCTCAGTTTACCGAGACCAAACTGGCTGATTGCTTGCACTTGCAAAAAGTACATGGAATTCGCTTGTAAGTCTTTGATGTCGATGGACGTTTGATCCTGTGAGAAATAATTACATATTAAAAACAACTCTGAAATAATTAAAGATTTAATTTTTTAAAAAAAAACTGACTTCAATTGTCACAAAACCAGTTATTTTGATTTAAAAATTAAACTACTTAATCGATTTGGATAAAATTTTGAAACAAAGATTTTTCTAAATTGATTTAGAACTGACGGAGTTATGAGATAACATATAAAAAAAATTAAACCGAATTTCTTTATGAAGTCGGTTTAATATTAAAAAAAAAAAAAAACTTATAGCTTTTAGAATTCATTATCAGACTCTAACCACCACACAGGGTTGTAGTTTTTACATAAATAAATCAAACAGGACTAAATACGACGGAATTGTGATATTATATATAATTTTATTTTTATTAATTAATATTTATTAGGTACCTTAGAGACTGTTTGATGGTTGACAAGCAGAGAATCCAATTCCCCACCGACACCTCTGGCTCTTCGACTCCAAAATACTTTGTAGCGCATGACGGGTAAATCAGACTTTGGCTCCTTCCATTCCAATCGTATGGTAAATGTGCCTTTAAATTTAAGGATAAGACATGTGTCTAGATTATTTATTCTTATAACAGGGGTAAACAAGGCAGATAAATTAATAAAGTATGGAAACCATAAATGTGATATCATTACACAACAATTCTCATCACCTAAAATATTACGTACCATTTTCGGATTTCAGTGGCTTTACTTTCAACTTCTTCGGTGGTGGCAGAGGCCTGGGACCTCTTCGTGGTGTAAATGGTGCACTTGGTTCTGAGAACCCTCGGGTGCCAATTGCACTGACAGCGGCCACACGGAATCGGTACCAATGACCAGGCTTCAGCAGGTTTCGAAGAGACGCCTTTGTTCTGTTAACAATCAATTGTTTTTATTAACCTAATCAAATATATATTACTCGTGTGATCCCGGCATAGAAAGGGCCACCCTATCCTTTCCCATAGATGTCGCAAGAGGCGATTAAGGGAATTTAATGGTCGAGGTATAGGCAGTAGCGTACCTTTTAGAATATCACCAAGACTTGATTGCAACCTAAACTTGGCCACTACTGGCGATACTTCCAAGGAGGTGGTCTATGTTCAGCAATGGACAATTAATAACTGATATGATGATGATGAATCAAATATATATTATAATATGAACAAACCACATCTTGGAAGCTTATAACGAGCGTTTAAAACCTGATAGTTTTACAATTTAAAGCACCTTCCAAATTATCACTAAAATCATAAACAAAACAGTCCTCTAGTCGAAATACATACGAATCTATTGCTAGAATCGTTATCGCTAGCAAGTCCGTGAGATAGAACGAGGTGACAACGCGCGCTGTCTTGTTCTTTCTAATGTGAGTGTCGACTGTTGAGAGCGTGGACTGTATTTGTAGACTATAAACACTGATTATATAAATTGGTGTATTTGCACATATTTTTAAATAGCTAAAAATTACGTACACACAGCGACCGACCAGTTTAGAGTACGGATACCATTACAATAGACAATTCTATGCTACGGTACCTGTGGCGTCACTATATTGAAAATAAATATACATTTTTAAAAATATATTTTGTTACTAGCAACATTAATCAAAACTGTATTCATACACTCATGTCCATTTATTCTCATTAACCACCTAAAATTAAGTCCTACTTATTTGAATAAATGAATATTCTAGTCTATTATGAACTGGTTTAATTAATAATCATAAATTTTGGCGTTCCACACGAACTATCTTCGTTTGTTGTCATTCTGTGCCTTATACAATCAACATGGTACATCTCATTTAGAGTTACTCGTATGTTTTGTTTTATAGCTACGAGTAGTAAACTGGTGTTTCTTTTTTTTTTAATAATATTAAAATTTAAATTAATTATTATTGTAATTATTTTTGTACATATTTAATACTGTAATTTCTGTGTCACTTTCGACTCATATTTGGAAAAAAAATCGATTTTATCCGAAAAAATGTTAATGACTGCGATTTCGTTTAATATTAAGTATCTAAATATTTTTGGAAATATAGAAAGATATTTACGGAGAACCACACGGGCGAATCTGCAAAATTACTTGCATGAATGAATATTAATACAGTTTAAACACGTTCGACTACCCACTTAAAACTCGCTTAACAGTTAATCCTTACTAGATTCCTGAATTGCAATGTATAATGGATAATTAACGTAATAACCGCACATATAAGCTTATTACGATACCTATGTTATAAGAGTTGGGTATTGGTTTATCAGAAAGTAGATATTAGAACCGAAACTGTGATATCATGAGAGGTAATGAACTGTTTATATTTTTACGTCACTGTATCGTTATAAACTCTGTTACGGTACAATGCACGACTAACTCTCTAGGAAGTCACGTAGCAGAAAGTACATAATAGTTTTTTTTTCTGTAATCAATATTCTAATTTGACGATCGTTTGAAGTTAAAATTGGTATTGCGACAGATGTTACGCCCTATCTAATATTTTATTATCGGTGCGACATGCGTTAGGTATCACGAGCGAATTATTATTTCGATTTATCGACACAATAATCGCATCGATAACTTTTCGATTCTTTTTTTAGTCAGTCATAGATATTCAATATCATCAAACATGCAGGGTTCATCCTTAGATTAAAATATCAAACGATAGATCCTTATTATCGGTACCTTGTATGGAACACATAGATCAGGGGCAATTTTGTAACAGTCGTTATTGCTTGCGACAGCTATCATTGACAATTATAACCATTAATCGATTTAAATTGGTCACACACGTAAAACATCGCCATGTGTTCGATTTAAACAACGAATCCATATATGAAGCGATAAATCGTAACGATCCATTGCGTTACGTATATCGGTTCTTGTATGAGGCCTTACAAGACCAATTTAATTCCATAGCATGTTGATAAACTGTTATCTCGAGTTTTTGTTTCACAAATAGAAATGACAATTAAAATCATTACATATTTAATATGAGAGTCCCATAATGGCATCAATACGGAAGTAAATCATACTGAATTTAAAAATAATTATTCAAATCGATTTAGAATTGGTATAACCATAAAATATACAATTTAAATTAATTGACAATTTCTTTCTATTCGATATCTAACTTGTATTACTCCAGAATCGAACCCCTAAAAAGGCAAACAATAACGTCGTATACTTTTATGACATCAATGAATAGAGTCGATTAAAGGTATTAAATTTGTCTAATAAATATAACTATGTCTTTAATTTACATAGATACTCACTTATTCGTTCTTAATATTAAATTCCATTGTCCAAGTCTGGCCTCTTCATATTTCGGTCCTAAATGATGTTGTTCTTCTAGAAGATATAAAATCTTCTCTGGAACTGCTCGGGCCGCGTCTCCAACACCATCTGACCATTTGACGAGCACGGACCGTTTCTTCTCCTTAGCTTTATCCATTACTGGTAGAGGTGGAAGCCCTGCATTTAATTAAAATATAACTTGATAAGATTTTTTAATAATACTATCAAAACTAAAGAAGCTGTCGTCACGACAATTCACCTAAAGGGTAGTGGTATATGTTACTGTCAGACATTGGGTGAAATGTACTAATTTTATTTTGTTTTATCCTAGGTAATCAAGAAAAGAGTTAGAAAACGATATAATTTTTTAGCCAAGTTAGTGTGAGAGTCTCAAAATAAAAAAATAAAACTCAAACAAACAAGGATTTTAACGATTTCATTTTAATGAACAAGAACGTAGTATGGGGCTGCCCATTGTATCCATTGTACACTCCTACTCTTGAAAACTAAAGGATTATGCTTTGATAGAACTAGCTATTCAATACCAGACCAAGTTTTGTTGTATTATAGTAGAAATAGACAATGGTTCTCTCTCTAAGTGAATTTAAAATAACTCTACCACCATGTGTGACATTGATACAGAGTTCAACTTTAAATTAATTTCTATCTGTATTAGTTAATATCTAATTAATAGACGCTTCATCTTCACACACTTGATAATGTAAGCAGATCAATTGGTTCGTTGCAGGTGGAACCGCAGGTATGTCGACAGCACCGCTGGGTACCGTCACATTGGGAGTCGCTGTTGCAAGCTTCCACGCATGCATCTTCCCATTTGGGTGTATCCGTGACGGGACACGTTCCTGGCTTTTGTTTGTGTCGGCATTGTGATCGGCACTGTAGAAAAAAAAAACTACCTAAATAATTTAACAATGCAGGCATGGTGCGGCGTCTAATTGATACATTCAATTCACATCAAAATATCCAAATTTTGCAACTTTCATATTTTGGGATAGTAGAATTATTGTTATTTATAGTATTTACCATCATCATTTTCATATCAGCCTTCAACTGTCCATTGCTGAACATAAACCTCCCCCTTGTGGGGGTTTTCCAGTAGCTGCCACGCTTGGCAGGCGGATTAGCAACCGCAATTAGGCTTTAGAGATGTTTTAAGAAAGACGCTGCTGCTCATCCCTTGCCCTCTCTTAGTCACCTCTTACGACACCCACAGGAAAGGAAAGAGGTGGCCTATTCCATGCTGAGACCACACGGCCTTATAGTATTGTTTGAACTAAATTGATTTGGATATTCAACTATCCATTTAAATATAAATCTGCTTTATTGTTTTTGAAAATTGTCGTTCCTATCGAGTTTTAAACCCGCGTTTTATTAATTTAGTAATTACAAAAATTTTTAAACACCTAATTATAAGAAAGAAGAAAATGATCTTCCTTTTATTGCAAGTTTAATTATTATAATAACCAGACTATAAGTAATATTATAGAAACAAACAGATAAGTAAAATAGTTTGATTTGTTTCGATGACGAGAACCGAGTCGAAATACATCAGCGTTTGCGTGTCGATTATCATAATTGTGTGAGAATCACGCGTTCAAGTCTCTGAAATAACAGGTTCAATATTCTATCAATAGCTGCTGTCGATTGGAAATAAAAAAAAAAAGAAAAGAAAAGATTAAAATCGAAGGTCCATAGAGCGGCAATTGTTGTTTTCAAAAAAGTAAATAAAAGCATGTTCATCGATCGTCAATCATTTCTGTGACAGGGTCTAACAAAAGAGATTATTCGGAGAGTGACGTTTTTAATTTTAAAATATAAATAACGTAATACTTAATATACCTACTATTATGAATGTAAAAATTTGTAAAGATGCTCGGATGTTTGTTATTATTATATAAAGTATAGTGGAATAGATTTAAATGAATGGAACACAGGTAGATCAATATCTAGATAAATCATTAGATATTTTTTATTCTTACCCAGGCAAAATTGCTGGAGTATATAATAAGTAGTTACATTCCCCTCTATTTCAGTAGATCTTGTTCCTATAGCCAATGGTGTTTTTGTTGAATATTCACATTGTCACGTATTAAATTTATGACTGCATTTCCAATTGTAATAAGAACTATTAAATAAAATTGACTTCAGAGCAAAAAGTAGGCCTCTTCCTAAAATTGGTTAAGCGTTATAAGCTATTGAAGTAGGCGTGTAATTTTATGTTTCCTATCATAAAATAATTTTTGCTCTGGAATTATCGCTGCCAAGTTAGCCAGCTGACCATTTTTTATTTTGTGTTGTATAAACATTTTATAGGTATATTCTATTAGATACTTGTTTTAACATTACTTTTCTGTACGCCTTTTTAAATAAATTTAAATAAAGTTTAAATAAATAATTAAAAAATATTGTTGCTGTCGCATGTAATCGCAGGTATTTTATATGCACAATGCGTGACATAGTCGACATACATATTAATATAGAAAAAATACATATAGCATTACAATTTACTAGCGTTAAAATATTTAATTTCTTTACTAGTCGAGAATGTGGCATTAATTATTAATCGTTACATGAACTCTTTTTTATTTTATTTTTTTTATTTTATCAAGCACAGTAATTGTTAGTTGTAATTAGATAACATGATTTTTATCATTAAAACTATATCATTCATTATTATCTCGTAATCATACAAAATAGAAATTGTTTAATGATTTTTTATAGAACTTTGTTTAGTAATAGTCTACGTTACTATCTGATGCTCTGTATCTAATGCGGTTTACTAGAACCATGCAAATAAAGTAAAAGCAATATTATTATTTGTTTTATTTACACAGTTGTACTTGTATGGTCAAGCGCTGTTACTGTTCCACTAACTTGATTAGCATCAGTATATTAGTCTAAAGAAAGGTGCCTTTGAAATTGTATGAATCACAATGGAAATTAATACTTGCATAGTACATTTGTAAGGAATACTGATGTATACGAAATGATCACTATCTTAACTCTGTCTAGGTTCAATGTGCTATAAAATGTGACTCTAAAAATAAGTTAAATATAGTTAGCATCGAGCGATGAGTAATACGACTGTTTAATTTAGTAAAAGGAAGATATTACTTTTATTAGTACTACGTTTATAATATATTGAGTTTTTTATCAACTTAAAGTTTATGTATATAGTATAAAGTATAAATCGATTGATTTAGTTTTTCTTATTGGGTACATTACGATGTAACACGTTCAGCTCACGTTTTCGCGAATCCTATAATTCATAAAATGTCTCCACCCTTCTAATATCTCCATGCAGAGATTTATGTATACATAAGGAGCTCTTATGAAAAAGTTCAACCACGCAGGCTTTATAATTTTAGGATTAGTCAATTGAATTGTCATTTGCATGTCTAGTTCAAATAATATAAATAAACTTAATTATATTTTCAACTACAAGCCGCCTTCAAGTTGTAACTTAAGTGAAGTTAATTGAAGGCGAAACATTGTCTATTTGTATTATCAATCATTATTTATTAGCTGTATTCCGTAGATTCGCATTTGTAAATTGAGATAAAACGTGCTTTATGCGCTCATTTACATTAAAGACTATATAGTGGTCAGATTTCATTGAAATCCTTCAAATCAAATCAAAGCGTGATTAAGTAACAAATATCTTAACGCTCATGTTGAGATGGTAATAAGTTTAATGATGATTCTAAGCAAATATTTTATTTTCTAGTACAATACTGCTATAGAAATATTTTATAAACATTCCAAACACATTTAACTTACCTTACTTTTAGTTTCTTTATTAACATCCAAACACATGAGATCACATCTAGCCTTCGATAGAGAATTCGACTGATGCTTTGAGAGCATTCTCATCAACCAACCATCAAAATCACGAGAGAAAACCATCGGCACCATCAACAAAAACACCATCACCACCAAAATCTTCACTTGCATTTTGAATGTCATTTTCACTTAAAACAGGGTATACAGTTCAATATATTTAAATGCTATTTTTACACATCGAACATACTTATGTATTTCTTACAAAATAACTTAGAATGAGTATTCCTTTTCTATATAGGTATAACCTAATATAATTTTTTTCGTGTTTACACGTTATGAAAAATATCTGTATTGTATATCTTAATGTTATAATTGAATAAAAATTAATAATTCGCTGCGAATAGGTAAAACGCAAAGGTCACAAGTAATATTGTTAAATTTAACAGGTTATCGGAATTTGATAAGTGACGCATTGGACACGATATTGCAAAACTAAAATTAAATATAACAAAACCCAATCAAGATAATAATTATGATAACATATTTACTAAATAATCCTTACAGCCAATATATCAATAAGCATTGTTGAAATTTAATAAATAAATAAATCAAACTAACCATTTTATTTATTTGGGTGCAAAGGTTAATCGTAAGTGATTACAATTACAAAATTTTTAAACATATTTAATTTAGTTACCTATATGAATAGTAGATAATGTAATTTTTTTAGTCATTAAAATAAATAAAGTTTACAGAAATTCCAATATTTCCAATCAATTTCCTAAATTTAACACACACATCGAATCATAAAACATAACAAAGTTTTATTTGTATACAAAAGTTATAGATAAACTTTTTGAGACTGACAAAATATATTTCATAGTCACCCTATCGTGTCATTGACCTTAACATTCGGCGTCGAAATCTGATTTGACAGACTGCGAGCGCTTGGCTCGACCCGCGCGGTTAGACTGCGCGTACGCATCGTATACACGAGTTCGTGCCTGGCTTCATTAATGTACATCGATGATGCTTTCCTGCCTGTGTCGATGACGGAAAGCTGCTTTTACCGAGTCAGTTTCCTAATTAAAAAATGGACATCGTCTTCCTGCATTCAATCGGCATTCCATTTTGTGTTTACTATTGTTTTTGTTTACGACAACCGAAATAACACTCTAACATATATGGATTACGTTATTATTTTGTTTGCTTTTAAAATTTTTATTCTAACTGTAATGATCAATTGGGTTATACTGTTTTATTATTTATTATATTGTGCAATTACAAAATCTCTATATTACATTAATTTGGATTTAATTTACATACATTACTTTTTGTTTATTTACATGAATTTGGGCTGGTGATTGTGAATGACATATACATATAATTTATAATCACCTCTATATTAGGAATAATTTATTTAATACTTAACTTCTCTTTAAGAACTAGATTGAGGATAAGTTCATATTCTAATACCTAGTGCGTTAAGAAGAGAAAGTCATCCATGAATGTACTCGTAGCTATGAATTGATGAAAAGAATATAAATCACTATACTTTAATAGAACATAATGAAAATACTAGAATATAAGACAGTCTACTGATGCTTAATTAGCACTAATAAAAAAAGGACTGATTAGATGTTTAGAGTTGTCACTAATTTTATTTAGAGAGTTCTTCTGTTTTAATTTTAACAAATTTAAGCGACTTCGTCCATTAATATAATATTTATGTCCTTTTCCATAATAAATATTGTATGTATGACAAATTCTATGTATCTATAAGATTAATTGCTGTAAGGCGCTAAGAAGTAACATATACGAGAATAAAACTTAGTAAGAATTTATATTTTTTTAATATTTTAAAAATATATTTAATAAATAAATATTTCATATCTTGCTTGCATGTCTAGATGTTTGTTATTCATTAATGCTTATTCGGCTTAAAATATTTGAGTTATATTTGCTGTAGGGATAGACTAAAACATAACTTATAATACAGAGGACAAATAAGCATGCAGTTCACTTGATTGGAAACGCAGGTGTGTTGCCAGCTGTTTAAAAAGGAATATGCTACTTTCTTACATTATAGAAGAAAAGATCAATCTAAGACTCTTATCTTGAAGGTTACAATGTCGTAACTTAGCACATAGGATACACTGTTTATACATATACTGATTCACGTGGACGTAGTCGTGGAAAGCAGAAGAATATATTCAATTACGGTTTTCATCCCTTCAGTATTTAGTACAAACAAACAGTTTTAATATTGCAACAGAAACATTAATTAAACTCTTGAAGGGCATCCGGTGCACATACACAGCAAGCAATCAACTGGTCGTTGACTCCTCAGCTTCTTTGTGAGCAATTTATCTTCGCTATATTGCATTTTTTTTTTATTTATAAAGCACTAAACAGCTAATTAGAAAGGCTATTCTCGTATACGTTGATTCTCAGAAACGTTGTGATGGGATTAAGTTAGGGATACGTCGTGCTATTGACTTGCAAAAAGAATGATATGGTGATCATTTCGGTATCATTCATTGACCTATATAAATTTATTATTTGTTATAGTAGGTTGACGACCTAAAATTAAATTTCGGTTTATTACGAAAACTTTTATATCATTATCGTCACCATTGTTTCGAATACTCTCTACTGTTGAATATAAGCTTACTTTATTATATATTTACTTATATTATAAGAATTTATTCGGTGAATGTCAGATTTAAAAATTGTTATTTTTATTAGTCTATTTGTGAGAATGCAACTATAATGTAGCTTTTACCACCAAGTAACTAAAGTGTTATATGTATCATCTTTCATTCTCTTTAACCACATATTTCTTATTTTGTCTTTTAGTAGAGGACGAGACTATCTCGTAAGATACCTGGTGTGTAGATAAGTAGATTATGATCATTATATCAGCCTTTAACTGTCCATTGCTGAACATAAGCCTCCCCCTAAGGGATTTTGCCAGTAGTTGCAAGCTTTAGAGATGTTTTAAGAGGAAGTTGCTGCACATCTCTCGCCCTCCCTTAGTCGCCTTCTATCATAGCCACGGGAAAGGAAGGGGTGGCCTATTCTATGCCGGGACCACACGGCCATTATCATATCAGTTATTATCTGTTCACTGTTGAATAAGCCTCCCCCATAGAAAGGCATAAGGAACGGTCCTGAAGCATCTGCAGCTACTGACTCTCTACAGTAAAATGTATAGATTAGTTAGACGACAACACTTCTCAACGGGGTGGGAGGAAAGGGATTGTTAGTAATGGGGTCTAACTGACTTATTGCTAGCAGCAGCCTATCAGGTTGACCTCCACGCGGTTCCCCCTGGAAACCATCGTGCTGAATTCTAGGTGTATTCATAACGATGGGCTATCTTACTTGCTTTTTTATTCTCACCTATCATCCTTCACTGGTGCTCCGTATACCTTTAGTGCAGGCGGAGTTACCATTCCATTATCACCTATTAAGAAAAAGACATCTCTACGTATTAATTTCCAAAATATTAATCAAAATAGTATTTCTGGGGGCAAAAACCTGTGAAACAGGCCTTCAGTCTAAAAAAGTAATGGAATACGTAGCTCCGTATTCATATCAATCTTACTGTCTATTAATAAAGATTAATTTAATCTAGATGACAATACAATAGACGTCATAAAATGCGTATAATGTTTGGATGTTTTTTTGTATCGTGGAAACCATATTTAAATTTCTTATCATAAGACAGAATGATGGATGCATAATGGGCGAAGTTATTTTATGAATGGGTCAGACAAAAAGTTGCATAAGAGATACTTATAGGAATGCTTTGCTTCATTATATTATAGGATAGCTGTGGACAAAATAGTAGAATATGGTTCATAAATATTTACTAATTTCTTATATTCTTGACCACGTAACACATTTATGAAACAGATGTAGATTAAAATAAATAAGCGAGTACCTACGTCAATCTATTATGAAAAATATGTGTGTCTAATCTTACCATTTACCGTATTACAAAAGCTATTTATTAGTATCCAGTAAAATTTCGCAATAAATTATTTAGAAAATATTATGTATTATAGAACGCCGTGTAGGTCCCTGCATAGATTAGGTCATCCCTTCCTTCCTCCGTGGAGGTCATAAGAGGCAACTAAGAGAGCTATGAAGGGGAGAGAGAGAAGAGGTCCTTCTTAAAACATCACTGAAAGTTAAACTGCGGTTGCCAACGCGTCTGCCAAGCGTGGCAACTACTGGCAAAACCCCCTCCCCCTTATGGGGGGACTATGTTCAGCATTAGACAGTTAGGGACTGTTACAGCTATGGAACGTAGTCGTTCTCAATTCACCTGTATTATTTGTGTGTACGTAATATGATATCCATGCCATTTCAAAAACATATTTAGATTTGTTTTTCGCAAATGATACTTCATAAACAATAAATTCACTAGACACTGATAACTGTCTGATCTCTCTGTATAAAAAGCATTTTTTTTTCATTTATTGTTGTGTTGTTTCAGATGTTTTGACATCGTAAGATACATAAAGGAAAGGTGCTTACAAAAAGTGGGCGTCGTTTCTGTGTTTTGTATTGAGTGACAACGCATATACTTTCATATCTGGAACATCATATTTTGAAAAGTTAGCTCAAAATAAATTGCTAAATATTAAATAGGTTATCGTGGTAAGAGTCTACTACATGTAAATTTTTAACTCCTCTTTAAATTCGATATGACAACAAAGCTCTTAGTCATAAAATTTACTTAAATAAGTGATACTTAGTAACAATATTAATAAACAGAAGCTGCAAAAAAATACAATATCACTAGTTCATATATATATATATATATATATAGAATAGACTTAATTTGACAAGTAAAATCAATTAGTATGCTACGTTACCAATGTTAATGATAGCAGCTGCTGCTTCATTAAACTTCTTATTGAACTTTTATGTATTATAAAGAATGCATCTTTTTGAACGTCCTGATAAAAAGTCTTAACAAAATCTTGACTGACGTGAATCCGGGTTTTATCAATTTAAAAGGATCTGGCCATTGTACCAATGAACTGAATTTCTTCGAAACTAATCCTCTTATTCGATTTTTAAAAATACATCACTCGTTGTCGACGTAAGCAGGTTCCTAACAAGTATACATAAACATCGATGTAATATGAAGTGTTATAACATCCGTTTTATTATAAGTACAATATTGAATTGCAACTGGTTGTTTAAAATGAATTTATAATTGATTTATTTTCGCTTGATTCGTCAAGCCTCTTCTAACAAAAGCTTATGATTTGTATTATACTTATCCATTAAAATTGTGATGTCATCCAAAATCTGGTTTAAATTGTTTGCTTATATTTTAAAAGCAATTTAAGAGCAAGCCAATTCGAAGAATATAATCTAGTGGGTGCCAATTTTTCTATAATAAATAGACTTGTACCAATAGATGAACTAACCGTTCTATAAATTGACAGACTAAATCGTTAGAAATATCAAACTGAAAACTTCATTCCAATTGATAGGAACATGTTGGTCTTATGTTAGTTTTATCTAAAGTGGAAACGGATTTTTAAACAAAATCTTAATCCGTGATTCTGAGAAGTATTAGGTTACTACTATTAGTATATTATTTGCAACATCAAATATTATATTTCTTGTACCCAGCGCGACTTCTGAGAATTTGTTTATGATATTTATTATGAATACCTCACAAACAGACAAACAGTATCGTTTTCGCGTGCAGTTGTCGTTGAAAACGATGCATTGCTGTGACGCAGTACATCGACATTACTATAGTTCTCGTTTGCATGTAACACGAGTATTTCGTCACGCACTATGGAAGGTGAACTAGTTCTTGAACGGGTTATTAACTACTTGCTATACTTTGTCTTAAACTAGCTTCCTTCATATGTCTTTCCGTCCTTCCGTTTCAAAATTTGTAAAATTATTTTAAATTTTTTGTTTTGTATATATTTAAATTTATTTTCAGGTAATAGGAGTAAATTTTTTATAGATATGTTAATAATATTTTACTTTATTACTATTATTTAATAATACTCGTAATAATTAATTTAATATAAAATAATAATAAACTATTACAATATTTAATAATAATTTAATTTCTTTTTTTTTACGCTGCCGGTGCGGCTGTGGTTTCAGTCTCATTAGCAGCCGTAGTGGCAGCGGGAGCAGCAGTGGTTGCTGCAGGCGTCGTCGCTTCTGCAGAGGATCCACCAGCCCATGGGAATAAATTCAACCACCATGAACCACCGATGTTTTCTAGGGACACGTTGAGGCCGTTGGCTGGTGCTGTAACAAGTTTTGCCCGCAAAAAAGCAAAATTAATATCGACTGTTCAGTTCGACCAAACACAAAGGTTATTCAATTAAAAATAAAAAAGACTAGGTATCAATTTCCATCTGGATTATATTGGTTAGTATTCGGGTTTATTTTATAAAAATTCCCGAATTTAAAATATCACCATAAAGTACTGGAAATATTTAACATTATTAAATATCTCAATCAATATATATCAATATTATTGGACAAGACAGAAAATTTTGGTACTTCGAGCCGGATTTGAACATTTGATTTTACATTTTAAAATAAGAATAAGAAGTACTTGGTACTTTTATTATCATTCTTATTTTAAAATGATTAAAAACACTGACGGAGGACGATAACATATTTTGTAAATAGATGTTTTTATAAGTCCATGTCACTTCGAACAAAAAATGTTTCACTGAAATCTATGCAAATGGTAAGTAGTACTTACTTACAATAAATTTGAAAATTTTATATTATAAAGTGTCTGATCTTTTTATAACACCTATAATTTATATAATTTTAAAGAGAGATATATTATAATTACTTATAGAATATTATTAATATTGATTTATTTTATTATGTTAATTAATCTAAATAGTTATATAAATTATTTTTTCAGTTTCATATACATAAGAAAAAAAGCCTACTCTTGGATAACGTAGTAATTATACTTGCTCTGTGAATAAATATATGTACCAATAATAATTACAAAATGTTAAAAAGAAGCGACTTTCGCCATACAATGAATCTCACGTTCTTCTTACTCGGGGAAAATACTGTTGGCTTTTGTTTAACACGAAATGCAGCAGTCGGTAGATTAAGAGAATAGCTTTATTATTAATTGTTAGATATAATTGCTAATAAAACAAAGAAGAAAGTGATTGTTCATCATCATTATTTATCAGTCGTTAACTGTCCACTGCTGAACATAAGCCTCCCCATAAAGAACGAACTTAACCCCAAAAACTGGAAGTCATATCTTTCTTGTATTTATCATTGGGGGTTTGCTAGTAGCTGCCATGCTTGTCAGGCGGGATAGCAACTATAGCTAGATTTTTGGAGATGTTTTAAGAGTGACGCTGTTGTCCATCCCTCGACTATTAAGTTGTCTCTTACGTAACCCACGGGAAAGGATTACTGTGACCTATTAATATAAATGGCACATGTATAAAAATCTCGCGTCACTATGTTCGTTCTACTGTAAAAAATTTCGCGAGTACACTTTATATTTAAATGGAATAACTATCGGTTTAACTTACGTGTAATTTGGTCGATAAAATTTGTTTAATTTCACAATTTATCGTTTTTTTTTTTTATATTTAGTTTAGCATCACAGCAAAACAACAAAAATTGCTAGCAAAACTCCTTTTATGAAGAAGGTCTATGTTCAGCAGTAGACAGTTAATGGTTGATATAATATAAAAATAAAGTTAAATAAAATGATAATATATAATATTTACACAAAATTATAATACTTACGTATCATCAGGTTGAGCGGTGCTGGTGGTTTAGTGGGTGTACTACCGGCTTCATCGGCAGAATCTGATGGACTACTATCAGAATCTGATGACCCACTTGGACAGGCGAAGCAGGGATCGAGTAATACATCTAAGAGGCCATAATCGTCATCACTGGATGAATCGTCATCGTCGCAAAATAAGTTACATAAAACTGAACTTCCTGATGGCTGTAAAAGAACATGTTATAAGTAATCATACCTTAAATCACAAAGTTAGTAGTAAAAAAAAAATTTTTAATGGACAACAAATGGTAGAAAACAAGATCATGTCCATATATATGATTGAAATAGGTAACTTTATATCTAACTGTATTTAAGTAAATATTACTTTTAAAATATTAAATATCTAACATTACAAAAACAAGCTATTATTTTATATATATATATTTTTATCCAACTTAGAATGGCCAACAAGCTGACGGCCCACTTGATGGAAAGTGGTAACCGTCGCCTATAGACATGAGCAGTACCATGAACATAACAGAGTATACTGTTTCGCCCATGATACCCCTCATGCGTTGCCGTATATGATTAGATATGGTTTATAGAAGATATATCTTTTGAATGCAGAATAGGAAATATTTCAATGTTAAATTAGACACCGTGACAATAACATGACAAATTGTTTTGTCCGTTTTTTCACGTATTGTTATTATGTAAAATATAAAATCAGCTATTCCTCCGTCTTTAATCTTATATTTTAAATAACTATTTTCTTGAAGTTGCTGTTACTGACTGCCCAGGACTGACTCCCTTAATTTCATGATTCTCGTATTCCCTACATGACGACAAACGAAAAGTGATAAATATATGTATATATATTTTAAAAGAAAGTTCAATGTCGCCTCTTGAACTTGTAGAAGTGGTTGTCGTATTATGTCATTATACATAAAGTAATAGATTTTTATGTAGACATAGGTATTGTCTAAATCTTTGGGTATTGTATATTCATAACAATTATATACCTAAATTTTTTGCATTTACAAATTACTTAGATTCAGTTATCGAGATAATATAAATAAATTTGTTTCATTAAAATTATTTATTTAATATATTTATTATAATATGACATAGAGAAATTATATTACATTATAATTTTTTTTTTATCTAAAAGATATTGCTGTTCTCTATTGAGATTCTCTATTCGGATGTATTTTTGATTATATTCGTATAGTTCTACGATTTAGATCTATTACACGACAGACAGTAGAACAAAGCGGACTTTTTGTCTGTTTAGTTCTTTTTTAATGTTAACTGCCTCATAGTCTTTTAATATTGTATACACTGACTTGGAAAATTCTTTTTTTATCTGCAAAATTTTAAATTATTCGAATAGATCGTTAAGATAATTGCTAGGTCAATCGTTTCTAAATACTTTTATTGTAATAGAAATCAAGTTTTTTATACGTACGTAATAGACATTAAACGTAGAAAAAGAATCTTAAGTGCTATCATTTACTACGTGACATCCTTAATCTTGATACAAAAAGTATTTCATAAGATTTCGACCTCCAATAAGACTCCCGACTAAACTTTAATCTGTCGTTAGCAGTTCCGTATTTCGAAGGAAAAACTAACCAAAGACAACATTATATTATTCACACACACATAGTGAAGATTTGAAAAAAAAATTAAATATTTTTTTATCTGTTTTATGAATGAAATATATTAGTATTAACCTATAATTACTAATATGTACCAATATAATTATTAGTTATCTAATAATATAGTTTCCTTATTTGTTTTTTGTTAGTTAAATATATACTCAATAGAATTATGAACAGTTTTTTAAATTAATATAAATACAATAGATTTTTGTAGACAGATTATATACAAATATATAAATATGAATATTTTATTTAAATTTTTCAGTGAAGAGTAATGATAAATAAAAATAAGTAATTTATCCATTTTTATTCTCACAGATTATGTTATAAAATATTATCCTGTATAAATAGAAGGTTCTAGTAATAAATAAGTAACACACCGATCCAGTAACCAACCGTTGGGAGACAATCATCACTAGCAAGAATAAACACGGTCGCACTTCAGCCATCTTCGATAGATTTCCATGAATGACCGTAAAACGCCTCCTATACTTATACCCATAGCCAACTATTGAATTACTTTTGAATAATCATTTACGTAATACGCGTGTAAAACATAGATTAAGCGTAAATTTCATCTATTAACTAGATAATAGGGGAGAGGGGAAGCGATTGTTTGTAATATTTTTTTATACAACTTAGAATGGCAAACAAGCTGACGGCCCACCTGATGGAAAGTGGTAACCGTCGCCTATAGACATGAGCAGTACCATGGACATAACAGAGTATACTGTTTCGCCCATGATACCCCCCATGTGTTGCCATTCCTAAATATGGTCTAACATCCCATCGCTAGTAATGTACTCTATTAGGTCGACCTCCACGCGGTTCCCCCTGGAAAACACTGTGCTTTATTTGTTGAATTAGTCATGATGGACCAATTGGCTTACTTTATCCTCATCTATCACTGGTGCTCGTATCTTGCCGTTAAAACGGGTGGGGTAAAAATAAAGGTAAAATTTAATATAACATAAAATGAGACATATCCAGGATTGATCTTTTTAATTTTTGACAATAAAATCATATTTGCAGCCCGTTTTATACGGGGTCGCCATATGTGATTTTTTATTTTCAAATATAATTTTTTTTTCTCCAAATGGATACAATTTTCTTCACTTTAACCCATTGAAAAACTAGTATCGACTTTTGGTACATTTTACCATGTATCACAAAGAGAAGAACGAAAAAGAAACACCTTAATTACGTTTCTGTGTTTAACTTTTCTTACCCTCACCTTTTCTGATTAATTTTTTTGCTTTGCTATCTTCATATATATATATATATATATATATATATATACATATCGCTATATAGTTTACAAACTTTAAAAATAAATACTACTTAATTTTTTTCTAGTCAATATCACTTTTCTTAAAGATTATGCAAATAGATTTTTTTTTTATACAAAATTGCGAAAAAAATACTCAATCTACAAAGTTGTGTGGATATGACTTTCTGTTTTCCTATATTCTTTGAAAAACTTCGCCTTCGTATGATTTCTGAAAATTGTAGAATATTTTACATGAACGAGTGTTTTATTCAAGCCGCATTGTTTCTAGTTAGACACGGTCAACACTGAATGTCATATGTATGATGTTTTGACATTACATAGGTACATATTTTATTGTATTGGGCTCAGACGATTACCCTGTGGCATACTAATTATGCCACGAAACAATCGCGCGTGCCCTATCGTTCTTAGTAAGCGATTTTGGCATTGAATTTTCATACTTACCTAACACAAATTGTAAAACCATTGTTTATAGTAGGAGGTACATTGAAAGGGGGGAAAGGGATTGTTAGAAATGGAGTCTAACAGCCCCATTGCCATATTTTCTATCAGATCGACCTCTACATAGTTCCCTCCGAAAACCATCGTGACTAATTCTTGTTCAATTCATAACGAAGGGTTAATTGGCCTGCTTTCGTCTAGTAGGTACCAAATTTGAATGACAGAGCTCAAATTTTCCATATCACAAAATCTGTCTTCATATCATAAGTTTCAGAACATCTAATGCTCAAAAGATCAAATTCTTATAATACGATCATATGAATCAAAGTCAGAACATTTTTTTATGCATCTTAGAATGGCTTAGCAACTACTTAGCAAACAAGCTAGTTGCCTATAGACATAAGCAGTACCATGGATATAACAGAGTATACGGTTTCGCCCATGATACCCCTCATGCGTTACCATTCCTGAGAACTTAGGTGTAATTCCTTTGTATCCTGTAAATTCACTGTCATATCCCGCCCTTCAAATCGAAACACAGCCATTGCAAACACAACTGCTTCACGGTAAAAACACGAATGAGACAGAGGTGCATTCTTCTGGTAAATTCGTATATATATTAATTTATAATGACACATGTTACTACACCCATTTTGAGCGAACACAGGGACAATATGGTCGCTGAATACGATCGACCGAAAAGATAATGTTACGGTTGGCTCATTAAATATTTTATAAAGAGAAAAACACGTCAAAGAGGAAAAATATTCTTATTATTCGTATAAGAGTTTGGAAACTTATTTGTACATGAGCGCGGGCGGCATACAATGTAGGGATGCAGTTGCGGGCTCATTCACGTGGAGTGATGTCGAAAAGAGGAAAATGAAACAAGGGAATGTATCACTGATCATTCCCTTGGAATAGGTGGTAGAAGATAATATTTCATAACTAGTTGTTCTCCGCGACTTCGTCCGCGTTTCCGTCGTTATTCGTAAAATAAGTAGTCTATGTCCTTCCTAACGGTTCAGTGGTTTTGATATAATAGACACATTTCCCTTCACTGCTCTGCTCCTATTGATCGTAGCGTGATAAAAAGTATACTATAATCTGCCCAGGAGTATGAAGAATAATTGTACCAAGTTTCGTTAAAATCCGTCAAGTAGTTTTTGTTTCTATAACGAACATACAGACAAACAAACAAAAATGTTACTGATTGCATTTTTGGCATCAGTATCGATCACTAATCACCCCCTGATAGTTATTTTGGAAATACATGTACAGAATTGACCTCTCTACAGATTTATTATAAGTATAGATAATGACGAAACTATAGAAGCAATGTTGTAGTTGAAGCTATATTGTAGAGACAGATAGATAGATATTGTTTATTGCTTCTTTCAAAAGATTATGGTACTAAATTTATTATAAATACAAAAAATAACAAGTAAAGATCATACTGAAAAAACAATGAGTGTCCTTATTGTTGAATGGCTCTTCCAGGCCACCTTTGAATGGAGGTGAATATATTCATAAATAAGTTTGGTTGATAACGCTATATGGTGTCAAATTCGCCATTTACACTATATAAGAGCGTTAAAGTTTAATAAATAAATAAGGTGTTTGCATTGTTGGCTGTCCTTAAATAAAATACGTGAATACACAAGCCCACGTATATATTTCCGTACCGATTTTCAATTAGCTGCATCGTAGATAAGACCGAACGCAAAAAAAAAGACGAAACTATATTTAGACATCCAATATTTACTTTTTATATTCATTACATCAAGAGTAGTTGAACAAACCGTTGGATTTCTAGGAATATCAGCTTGACAGCCATTGTTTGTTTTTTGTATTTAGTCATAGTAGTCCAACAACGCGATTTGATCCGATGATATAAGAAACAATAATTAATTCAAGACTATAACAATAGCAACGATAAAGTTGAACATTGATGATCCAGCAGAAATCCGTTTTCACATTCTGCCATATGAGCTGAAGATTGTATTAGTAAGAAAATTGCTTTGTATCACAAGGGAATTCATGTATTATTTAAAATGGTATATATATATTATACTAGTCTTTACCCGCGATTTCGAGTGACCGGTATAATTAAATTGATGGAGATAAAAATTAGCTCGTGTGCATCTCCAGCACAAATAGTAAATGTATATCCAATTTTGTAACGATTAGTTTTTTTTTTTCCTTTATGTGTGATAATGAAATAGTAACCCCATCCGCGCTATCGGTATACACCGGTGGGGCACCAGTGAAAGATGATGATGAAGCAGGTCAGTTAACCCATCGTGACGAATTCAACAAGAAATGTTTACGATAGTTTCCAGGGGGAGCCACGTGGAGGTCGACCTGATAGGGCATATTGCTAGCAATAGGGTTGTCAGACTTTATTGCTAACAAACCATTTCCCCCCTGTAATGATTAGTTAAGTAATTAAAGCTAACAGTGATATAAACAGTATAGTACAAAATAGGTAATATAGTATAGTCGTAGTAGTAAATTAGTAAGGCTGGTGTATTTATTCATTCTTTTTATGCTACTTGCAATGGAAAACAAGCTGACGGCTCACCTGATAGAAAGTGGTAACCGTCGCCTATTGACATAAGCAGTACCATGGACATAACAGAGTACACTGTTTCGCCCATGATACCCCCCATGCGTTGCCATTCCTGAGGACTCAGGCGTTATTTCTCTGTAAATACCCTGTAAATTCACTACCATATTCCACTCTTCAAACTGAAACACAGCCATGCAAATACAACTGTTTCACGGTAGAAACACGAATGGGACCCAAGCAAACGACTTTTGTACAAAGTCTCCCTCTGGTAAATTTATTTTTAAATTTAGTTATTGAATTTAGTTTTCTGGAATTTTCATTCATTGATGTCTCACTAGTGTAAAAATAAAAAATAAAACACACAAATTACAACTTCTTAACTTTAGTTGCCTATATACCTTACAGTCTTATTTGTAAGTTTGTTATAGATATTTTGCAATGTATAGTTTGGTGCAAACTACTAAGAAAAAATAAAACATGAAATATATAAATAACATATGATATATCTTTGTAAGGATATCAATCAAACATCATTCTAAATATGTAAAGCAGTTGTGTTTGCATGGCTGTGTTTCGGTTTGAAGGGTGGGATATGGCAATGAATTTACAGGGTACTGAGGAATAACATCTGAGTCCTCAGGAATGGCAACGCATGCGGGGTATCATGGGCGAAACATTATACTCTGTTATATCCATGGTACTGCTCATGTTTATAGGCGACGGTTACCACTTCCCATTAGGTAGGCCGTTAGTTAGTTAGTAGGTAGCTTGTTTGCCATTCTAAGTAGTATAAAAAAATGTGTTATGATGATTTTACTTATGTATAAAAGACAGTTACAATTTATCAACACTTAGGCTGACTTACCTTTCTAAGTTGCATAAAAATGCCCTTATTGAACTTAATAAATAATCTTAATAGCTTTTCTGGCAGAAAGAGAAATCTTCTTGAGAAAATATCGCAGAAGGTCTTCATGATGATAGTGCCTACCTTTGGATTCTAAATTTGCATAGAGCTGTTAATATTCCTTATACTTTGCAATATAGTTCTGAAACCTTTAAGAAAATAGCGTACTCCTTAAAAGGCAATTTCTCTGATGTTGCGGATGTCTATGGATGGCGGCAATCAATTACTATCAGGTGAACCGCATGTTTGTTTGCTCAAGAAAGTTTGTTTAGCGTTTTCTAATTATTTTTTCTATTGCTACCGCTTTGATTATAACGTCTATTTTACTTCTAAGAATCTCATTGTTATTACAAGAGAAAAAGCGATTATTCTGCCATTTTCACACAGTACTGTATTGAACTTTGAGAGGCAATTAGAACTTAACTGTAGTAATAGACCTAAATGGACGCACATGGAATTCTAATAAGTCAATGTCTATCGTAATTTCAAGACTGTTTGTCTATGTGTATTATGTTTCTGGAATTTAAGAAATAAATATGTTCAGTATGTTTTTGGTTAAAAAAATGCTTATGAGTATAACTTTATTTAACTCTTACGCGTGAAATTTAATTAATTAATTTAATTTTAATTGCACAAATATATGTATTAAATAATGGTACATATAGCGGACTAATAAATGCCTTTTCTCTCAGTCAAGCATAGAGTTAGCAGAGATTTATATAGACGATGCCTTTTTTTTATTATTATTAAGAGTCTCTGCTAAATATTACTGATCTGTTTGGAAACTTATATTTTTCTGCCAATTATACTCGGATTCATAATATTACTACTAGTTAATGTTATACCAAGTAGGTAAGTAGTACAACTTTATAGAGTGTAATCCACTTAACCTATTATACTAAATTAGTATATACAGACCTTGAAAAGGTCATTAGTAATTACTCACGGTTAATGGAAAGCTCAAAATGAAACAAGTATAGACTGACTTTAATAATTATTATTTATTGAAAAAAATCTATCATTACTAATTATTTTTACAAAATACTATACATTGTCTTGGTGTTATTGAAAAAAAAAAAGAAATAAAAAACCTAAATAAATTACTTTTATAAAGTACAAAATTATATTTTAACGTAACATTATAAAATGATATTATTAAACATTCTTGTTTGCTATCTGTTTAGCCATAAACTAATTTATTTGACAATTATCTTAAGAATACTAATGTCCGAATGCAACTTTGTAGGTGATTCCAGGCTTCCTGGGTATTTTGCTGTTCACCTCCACGAGTATCGGAGAGAAGTCAGCTTTTGCCGGCTTCGAGGAACAGTTTTTATGTGGTATTGGAAAAACATAATTGATGTCCACGTCGTATCTGTAAAAAGTGTAATTCAATTAATTATTTATAACTATTTATGTATTAAGTCAATGGAATATATTATTTCTAGATGGCGTGTCAAAATAAAAAATAGTCACATAAATTTTTAAGTTAGACCTTTAGAAATACAACTGTGACAACCACATCTAATTTTGGGCATTTATTTTTGCGTGGTGCTGTAAAAAACTAATAGACAGACAGGTAGTTACAGAGATAACCTTGTATCACAAAAATTTACAACTTCTTTCTCAGAAGGCACATAATCTAATATCCGAATAATGATTGAAAGTAGAAATAAATGAGGCTAGGCTTTTAAAGCTAGCTAGCTAGCTTTATTACGACATATCCTTCCCTAGCTTAACGTTCTAGCTTGGCACAAAGCGGTTTACACACAAATGCAATAGAAAAAACAAAAAAGTTAGAGCGCAGTATTTGCTCGGTTATTAGTTTTGCTGTTTACTTCACCTTGATAGAGTTAACAAGCTTAAAAATAGAACTATATCCAATCAAACTATCCTAGCTGGTAACTCTGACTTTACATTAACTAAATAGGCTAGAAATTGAAGTAGTACGCTATGAACGAAGCCAAAAGTTAGTTAGTTTACTGTTTCTACAACAGTTTAATTATCCTTGTTTAAAAAAAATGTTTATATATTTTTCTCTTGTCTAAATTTATTTTTATTCGTCTATATTTTAGCTTTTATTTAATTTAATATAATGAGAAAATGAAATAATGTAGGTTTTTCACTTTTATGATTAAAAATAATTCATAATATATATATTATTTATGCAGGGTTCAGGTGACGGCGATTTTAGTCGCTGGCGATTCGCTAGCGTATAAACAAGAACCCGAACGAAGTTTCTCACAAAACAAAAACTTAATAAGGTACATCATAAATATTTTATGTAACTCGCCAAACTGAGCATTAATATGTATGGACTTTCTTGACAGCTATTACACTTAATTGTTTTACATTATGTCAACGTCGTAACAAAGTTTAAAGATCTCTGAGAGCATTTATACTGTGAGATTTTATCTCTTGAATATTTTTTTCGAGCTGCTTTTTGGAGTCATATCATAATAAGATATATAAAAAATTTATACTTCACAAACCAACTTCTATCAAATATGTATTTTGAATTATATTTAGTACTTGCGTGACATTCTCTTTTAACGCTACGGATAGAGTATTATCAGTCTCACTCTTCAATAACTTTTTGAACTTTTATAACCCTGACGTAGAAGGTTGGAAGGGATTACTAATAATGGGTACTAGCAGCCCCATTGCTAACAATATACTTTATACTCTGCCAGATAAGCCTCTACGCAGCATAGGGGAGCCTTTGGAAATCATCGTGCTCAATTTTGGGTGAATTTATCACATTAGACTAATTGCCTTTGAATTTTATATAAAAATATGACATTATTTTATATCTAGCAGGCAAAAGACGATATTTCGTCAGTGTTTACCTTAGTTCATTTAACTGTAGAATGCTGTGTGTAAATTTGTAAGTTACTTTTTAGTATTTTACTCTATGGTTATAGTTACCTATCATTTGAGCGTGGTATTACGTATAGAGTAAGTATAAAATGTTTGAATTATTAATTATAATACTACGATAAGTATTATAATTAATAATTCATATATATACCTAGTCAATTATATACCTTTTTTATTTTGTTGATATATTGACTATATACATATATTATATAAGTCAATTAGGTACTTTTTATTGGGAACAGCTTTCGTTGCAATTTGGCATCGATACACAGGGTGTACTGGCTTTCTGCCATTATTGCTATTGATTAACTATAAACGTACTCCTAATGTGGTACATACATACTGACATAGGTAATAATAATAATTTATACTTATATATTGATTTAGTTTGTCCACGAAGGTTGCGTTAACCGCTTACTGTACGGTTAGATAGATACTCTTTATTGTTTCCTCCAAAATATTACAAGTTAGATGGGCTGTATGCTTGTTTGCCACCTCAGTGGTATAAAAAAGTATGGTTTTTAAATAAAAACAAATATTTTATCACAATTGAAATCGATGTATGCTTTCGTGGGACAAAATCTATTAAGTCCCATCATCATCATCATCATTATATCAGCCGTTATCTTTCCACTGCTGAATACAAGCCTTCCTCATAGACTGTCATAAGAAACGGGGCCGTTCCTTATAGCAGTTTACCATTAGGGAGATTTTGCCAGTATTTGCCACGCTTGACAGGTGGGTTGGCAACCGCAGTTTAGCTTTTGATGTTTTAATAAGGACGCTGTTGTCCAACCCTCGCTCATTAAATTGCCCTGGTCTTACGACATCCACTTGAAAAGAAGGCACAAGAATGGGCCATTCATTCTAAGCCCGAATTACACGGATAATGTCTCAGTTTTTGAAACAACCATAACAATTAAACTAACCTTGGCAACTTGTCTCTTAAATAAGCCATCACGTTCTTCGGTAATGAGGTTTTTCTTGATAATACGAAAGCACTAAGGTACCTAGTGCCTTCCCTCTGTTCAGCGCAGTGCAATAAAAGCGCCCAAGTTTTGTACTCAGTATCTAATACGTATGTATTATATATACCATCATCTGGAAGTAATATTAATGACTGTATTACAATATTCAACTTTTATAAATTTCAAAAAAAGAACATACCAGAGTGTAACTGTAGTAGACATCGCACATAACGCGGTACTCATACCATACATACCCACGCTAACTAGACACCGTTTTCCCTTATATGTGTGAATACGGGTCGGTATATACCGACGTTATAACGTGTACATGCTGTGAATTTGTTATGCCCTTGTTTACTCATCCCACCTGGGCACGGTGCAATGCGAACGGTGCTTAATTTTGCTGTCAAATAGTTTATTTAATGAGATGAAAATGGAATGGAGACTTCGCTTGCGCTAGCAGAGCACTATTAAGGGATGATTTAGTGAAGATGAAAGTAGGTCAGTTATCCCAGTGTGACGAATTCATCATTAATTAAGTTTATAGTTACCACCATGGTTACCAAGATTAATCGCGTGAAGGTAGGTCTGATAGGGTATATTGTAAATATCGGGATAGCTGGGTACTAGTACTACTAACAATCCCTTCTCACTTGTCAAACGGATAGTTTGTATGCTGTATAGTGTAGGGTTCAACTAATGTACACAGCATTCTTATGTACACAGATTTCTCTTCATATCACAAGATCTTCAGATCGGAAATCGCCATAAGATGACTTTAATGTTGCAAAGTACATTATAGATTACGGAGGTATAACTCCTTGGTCTTTAGAATAGCAACGTATGAGGGGTAACATGAGCATTATTATACTGTATATTAATTAATCTTTTTTTAATTAATTTGATGCCTTTAGGCGATGGTTACTATTATAGTTGAATGGTATTTCCAGTTATATAAAAAAATTCTTACAAGTGATTTCAGAATGCGTCCAGTGAGCGGGTTCGTTCAAGTCCACTCGCCAAGTGATGTTGCCAAGTAAATTTTCGCCCAGCGGATCGTCAGCGAAGCGGTAAGTGAAGTTCATGGTTACACCAGGCGTCCATTCCACCGAACCATCTAGAATTAAACACGTAAAGGTGGATTACTACAACATAGTTCTTGATTTCTGAACTAGAACATAACGTGTATTATATTAAAATAACAATATAAAGAGATTATGCATTTTCCATCCGTTAAATAGTTTAAAGGAAGTACAGAATATCACCGTGTAGTCCCGGCATAGAAAGGACTACTCCTTCCATTCCCTTGGGTGTCATAAAAGGCAACTAAGGGTACTTAATTGTCAAAGGATGGGTAGGAGCGTGCCTCTTAAAACATCATCAAAACCTAACTGTGGTTGTTAACCCGCCTGCCAAGCGTGATAATACCCCCAAGAGAAAGAGGCCTATGTTCAGTAAACAGTTAACGCCTGATTTGGTAGAATACGCAGTGTTTCTAGCTGTCAAGTTACCTGGAATAGAGGTCTTTATATTTTATTATCGTTTTCAATCTATATTTTTTTTTTGTGGGAAAATTATTCTGATTCATTGGTAGAAAAATCTCTTAAAAGGATGACAATGATTTTAGATTACTTCTTTGTATTTTCATCTATAATATTTTAGCAAGCTTAGCCTGTCTGTTTCTGTTAAGTTTTCAATAACTGAAAAAGCAAACCTTCTGCTTGTACATGGTCATCTTCTGTAAAAACAGCTCTCATACAGCTGTACGAGAGAGCTTCTTCTTCACTCGCATAATACTCCACCACGTACCACTCTCCCAGCAACTGGGAATATAAAAGGCGAAAAATAAAATCTTTGTCATTAATGTTTTGACAATTTATTTGAGATATAAGATTTTAGTTTCAATTTCTAGAGAAAAAAAGAAAGAAATATTTTTTTATTCAAGTTATATTGAAACATTCTTGAACTAGTACATTTTTGTAAATTTACCATCTATTCAAAATTTCAGTTAAAAAGAACAAACAATAACTCAGCCGTTGGTTTCTTTTTCAAAAAGTTGATTTTTATAAATTATAAATTTGTGTGAATACAAATTATCAGATGCAGATAATTACCAAGGAATATCAGATCTTAAAAATGAAGATATTGCTATACAATTTGAACAAAGCAATAAAATAAATCAATTGCAGCAATGAAGAAACCAGTTGAAGTGAAAACTACAAACCGTATTTTTATTATTTTCTAAAACGCTAAATATTATTATCACAGAGGTATTTTTATAAAGAAATTTACTAAAAATAATTTCACCGATACGTTTTTTTGCATGTATTTGTACGTTATCGTTAGTATATTGTAGCAATGTGTTTTCGCAATTGATATGGCTTGGCTCCATATTGGTCTCATACTAATTTTGTCATATCAGATATTACTGTATTTTTTTTATCGAGATTTTATTTCTGACAGAATAAAACTCAAGAGCAAGTCTTTATTATCCTTGCTTTCACTTCACACATATGTTGATGTTACGTTTAATTGCTATCACAAATATAAAAGGCGTTTCAATTACATATTGCGATTATTTAAAATTCATGAAAAGCTACAATTAATTGTACTGAAGTATTCACTATATAATATCAAATAAATGCTTACAAAAAATAAGTTGTCAATTTTAAATTATTATTTTACAATCTATTTTTCTCTTAATTAAGTCGAAATGAAAGATGATACTAATGTAGTTAGGCACCTTATAAATAATATAAAATTCTATCTATGATAACCTTATATACCTTATTACGCTGATTAGGTATTATGAGAGATGAGGAGTGAGTTTGAAGTTCTGTTACTTTATCAAAATTTCAAATGATTTCATTGGGATCCGTATAGAGTACTATTTAAAAGAGTAAATTGTCGGCAATAGACTACGAAACCTCACTACACATTATTTATTATATTATCTGTACTCTTATCAACCAAGTATCACATCGTTTTTGTATGAATTGCACAAAATATGTTTTATTGAATTCATTAATAATGAAACCAATATAGAATATCTGAAGAAAAATGTCAAAAAATTGATTTACTATGATGTATGATGCATTGCTCAAGTATCTAATCGTATATTATAAGCAACAGTAGTCACATTCCATCAAATTGAAACGTCAGTTTTCTATTCTTAGTACAACAAAGAATATGGTAATTAAAGTGCACATCCCACTTGCCTAATAGCGATAATATAGCGAATAGAAAGTGAAATGATACAGTAACTTGTATCTTTGCTTTCAAAGGAGTGTACCGGAACAATAAGTTTATTGAATAATGTATGCAAATAACACGCGGACACATCACTGCCAAGTGTAGCCGCACCTGCTAGGTCAATTTGCATTGTATAATGTTAGAATAATCTAATAAGTAAGTGATAACTAGTATGTATCTTTATTTTTATTGTTGTATCACAGTGTATAGAAAAGACTTCTTTATATTATGGTTTGACAATGGGCGATATACATAGATCATAATACGTCTAGATGAAATGTCGAGTACGAAAAATCGCTACGTCAAAGTTACGGTAAATTACTGTAGGTATTTTAAAACAAAGTGCCTAATCTTTGGGATTTTTTTTTATATTTGAACTCTTTGTGTTAACTAATATTACAAATATGAAAGTAGATTTGTTCGTATGTATATTTGTTAGCTTATACCGTCTTAACTTCTTAACTACTATAAAATTTTGGTGTACATATACTGTGTGGGATGGAGAAGAATATAGGCTTCTTATTATCCTGGTCATTAAAATTATATAGTTCACGCGAATGAAGTCGCTGATAAAAGCTAGTACGTAGAGTAAGTACTAAAAGAAATAATAAAACTTATTGTCTTAATTAGATACTATTAATATTTAACAAACTATAATGCTATTATTTTGATATCATATTCAAACATACATTGACGAATCGCGTAAAGCTACGTATGGTTAAAACACATAAGATTAAAAAAGTTGGACTGTTTTGGTGAAGTGTTTGTGACTGTGTTTGTATACGTTCATCTAGGAATGATAATATGTGTATTGTTCGTAGACTATGAATAGATGTTATTCCAGGTTATAGATAAATTTGTTTGAGATCAAAATACAAACATAAAGATAGATACAGGATGTAAATATTCTTTTTTTTTTTCCCTTTGCAACTTAGAATGACAAACAAGATGAAAAACCTGATGGAAATTTTGGTAAAGTGTTTGTAGACTGAGCAGTACCATGGACATAGCAATTATAATATGTTTCTATTCCCCCCATAGACTTGCCATTCCTGAGTTATTCAGGTTTATTAAATTTGTACCCTGTAAATTCAAAATATCAAACATTCAAACCGAAACAAAAAATGTAAATACCTCTTTTTTATGCGAAAACTAGAATGTCAGTTCTATACCCTTTACAAGAATCTTATTTTTATCAATCTAAAGTATTTTAGACATAAATTTTATGCATTAAAGAAATCCCGAAGCATAATTTAATTATAGTTAATAAGGTATCAATTCAGTGCAAAAAAATATTTAGTCTTTATTGAATATTAAGGCCATATATTGATAGAAAATTACATGTTGCTATATCTATTTATATCAACATCTATGGATCGAAATCATAAATACTATATTTGTCCCATCTACATAATACTCATTATCTATATTTACATAAAACAACAGATCAATTCATAGTTCAGCCAACCCAATACATCGAATTTAAATACTTTATGTTAATTCTAAGTTAACCGTTAACTAATTTATATTCCTACGTATATATTAGTATAGTTCACTCGACCTTCAGAAGATGCCAAATATATTATGTGTAAGTACTTATCTAAATGTAGTTTCTGTTTGGCCGAGTTTTGTTTAAACATTTCTCGACAATGTTACTCAGTTTGATTACTGAGTAACACCAGTTGAGTAATGAATTAAACTGATAGAATAATAGAAATCAAATACTTCAAGAATTTGTCTTTGTAAAGAAAATTAATCACAAAGCGTAAATTAGGAAATTATTACTTTTTGAAGTTAATTAGAAACCTATAGTAATAACAAATGGTGTGAAGAATGATTAGAACAAAATATACTCGTGCATGTGACATATAAAATTTGATTAATGTAGAAACAATTTTAATAGCACAGTGCTGTTATCAATTATACATCCGGCGCCTACGCATTCACGCGCTAATGTTAATAAAATAAAATAAATGTGCAATTATAAAAAAAAAAAATACATCCATTTATAAACCCTATATTACGTAAATATTATGTTACGTTTATTTAAGAACGGTTATAATAGTGAATAGTTTTTTTTATTGTGGTGGTTAACTTTTTTGAAATTGTAAAACTATTCTTTGATAAAATTGACATAGAAAAATTGAGTAACATAGACACGAAAATATAGGTTAATTGACATTTTTATTTTTGAAATCATATGAGAAATTCGACTTTAAACTTGATATTAGTAATAATGTGTCCAATATAAAGTAAGTATAATAAAGATTTCATAGTATAATACAATACGGGACTAACATAGGAATAAATTTTTCGATTAAGTAAATGATTATCGTATTAACACAAAATCACTTAGTAATATACATACAAAAGTACAGTTACTTTGAAGATATAATACTGTCTTGAAGTATTAACATTAAATTTCTATTATTTTTTTATGTGAAAAAGCAACAAACGAGCACATGTTCCAACCCGATATTAAGTGCAGCCCATGAACCCTAACGACATCAGGGGAATAGCCAATGATTTTAAAAGTTATAAATATTTTTTATTATAATCCTCATTTTTTTATCAACATATTATTTGGGTGTTGTGCATGTTTATAACTGATGCAAAAACAGGATTTAAACAATGTTTATTGTTAATGTACCCAATTATTTGTGACATTAACATGTCTAAACATATAAATAAGTTGCTTTAAAAAAAAAACTGTTTTAATAAAACAAAAATTGTACAAATACGTTAATAAATCCTTTCCATTAAAGATAGAATGTAATAAACAAAATCGAATTGAAACTCTTTTCCTTGTTAAAATCATTTAAATACATTATACATTTTATAGCGTAGGCACCCTGGGCAGGTGGTTTCTAAGATACAGTATACTTTATACTAGTTCAAAAGTCACAAATCATATTCTATGTTAGACTGTACACAACATTAAATATTAAACTGTCTATGTTGTAACACAATTTAAAATTACATTTATTATTCTTAACATATTAACACAGAAAGGGTTTGATATTTATTTTTATTATTTTGTCGACTACTAGTTATAACCACGACTTCCATTTTTTTTTCACTCCATTGAACCGGGGATGGTTTCAAAGTATAAAGGGTTTTATGTGGGGTGACGACCCTACATTCCTAACGATTCCACTTTATCCGCTCTTATGAGGATAATGCTTGACACAATTTTATATTTAATTTCGTTACTTCTACAATATATAGCAGATAGTTAAATTTTTAACTCTTTAAATAGTTTGATAATAAGGTCTAGTAGTCTCAACACTAGCAATATACCCTTTCAAGGTGACTTCTACACGGTTCTCTCAGGAATCATCATTATCATTTCAGCCATTATCTGTCCACTGCTGAACATAGGCTTCCCCCAGAGACTGCCATAAGGAATGGTCCTCGGCCACTTGCATCCACTGACTGCTTACAATGCATTTGAAATGACCACCTCAGTCTATTGGCGAGTTTCCTCAAGAAATAATCGTAGTAAATTTTTGATGAATTCGTAACATCAATAGGCTGACTTTATCCTCATCTATCATCCCTTCCTGGTGTACTGCCAGCATAAACTAAGTAATGTAGATGGGATTATCATTAATAAAAAAAAAACATGAATTGATCGCCCATTTTAATTTTAATTTATATAAATAATTTCTATTATGCCTCACTACTTTACTAAAATTTAACACACAATTATGACACAACTAACCTGGGATAAGTCAAAATGTGGCACAGCCCTGACTTCCGGACATTTTCTTTTATTTACAATCCTTCCGTATGCTAATTGCAACACAAACACCAACAAAACACAATTTGCCAATTTAAGCATATTTACAAACTGATAAAACAAATTTATTTGTTGTTAACGAAATATCATTTATTTATTATTTAATGATTGTTACCGCGTCATATAAATTTAGTCAAACATAAAGCGTTATATTTACAAGAAGCGTAATGTTGAACTAACAAAAGGGAATTGTTTGTTATCAATCGGTATGGGACATCAGTAATGGGACGTTGGCAGCATACCATTATCAGGTGACTCATAAAATTATTCACTGTAGTTTTAAAGACTCATAGTCGACCCAGACCCTTTTAGGATTGTAGGGTCCCGTACTAATTGGTATAGAGGAACCTTTAGTCGCGTATCTGCCACAGAGATACTTAGCAACTATTACAGATATCGATTTAAAGTTTGCAATAGTTTTTAATATTATCGAGTTTCTTTCCGCAAACTTTCAGAGAGTAGAATGATCTTGCCGGCTTTTCCCTAGAGATTACAATATAGGGTTTTATAAAAAGGGTGTATTAAGGTTTTTTCAAAGTCGGCGATGAGTACGTGACACTCTTGGTGTTGGAGGTGTCCATAGGTTACAGTGACTGTTTACCATCAAAGGGCTATATGCCTGTTAAAGGACATCATTTGCATATTATAAAATACATTTTTTTGCGTCCACCAAAGTTTATGAAAAATTAATACATAATAATAAGTAATTAAATTTCCCCATTAACTACGAAATCTAAGCATGCAATCTAAAATTGTCGTTGTTTATAAATATGTGTATTATTATGTGAATGTTAAGACAAAAAATAAAACGATCTTTATAAATCGTTCAGTTTTTGAGAACTTATTAAATATTCATGCGCTTTAAGTAGGTAATTAGCCATAGTAACGGCACAGAAAGTTAATAAACAAGAAAACCCTAACACTACTAGTAATAATAATAACTAAGTAAACACTGTTTCATACCCGTATCTTACAATAAACACATTTTGTACATAAGATTAGTTTATCTTATATTAGAACTAATATGTACGGAACTCTTGTAACTTGTACAAAACAACTCGTACTTGGTTTATCTCGGTTTGTTTGGTTGGTTTTATTTTTATTTGTTTTATATACGTTGACCTTTATATAAGGATTTAAGTGTTTTAAAAAATCTGTTTAAAATGATTACTCTAAAACTGAATAATTTAAGAATGTGTTCGACAAAAAAAAATCGACTTCAATTGTGGCAAAACCAGTTATTTTGAATTAAAAACTAAACTACTAAACCGATTTCGATAAAATTTTCGTGGGTCAAATCTGTAAGTATATCCTCCTTTTTTTGAAGTCGGTTGAAAAAGTTATAATTATTCTTATTGATGTACATGTTATCTATACTGAGGTACACTGTAAATGTACCAACGTGCCAAGAAAACTTTGATGCATAGAACGTTACGCTAAGCGTGTACCAAGTTAAACTCGTAATGGAATTTCCCGGAAACTTCTTCGGATTAAGAACTTCTACACTCGAGTGTAAACCATGATTTGTCTTTGTGCTTTTACTTAGAAACAGTAATTTACTTTTAAAACCCTTTACCTGGCTGCCTTGGTGCAGGTTTGTGAAACTATTATGTGGATGAAAGAAGTAAAGAAAATACAGTATTTTATCAGTTTTTTTTATGGAACTTAAAATGACATCCAAGCCGACAACCTACCTGATGGTAAGTGGTAACTATCGCTTATAGACATGAACAGTATCCTGGACATAACAAAGTATATTGTATAAGCCCATGATACCATTTATTGCATTTTAATCTAGTTTTCACTATTATAATATTGTAAAAACTTGTTTGTGATATTACCGCAAGAATATTTATGCTTATGCTCTTACATACATATCGGGTAAAATAGAAAATATTAATAAAAATCTTTTTTTTTTTAATTAAAAACTCAATTCAGCTGAATTGAGTTTTTCACGAAACGTACATCCCTGCAGTTGTCCATAGACGGGCCGTATGCTTGTTTACTACCATAGTAGTATAAAAAAAGCCACAATTTGTATGACATAAAGTTATAACACTGATCAGCGGCACTATATACAAACAAATATAAAATTCTTTTGAACATAAATTGGATCAAATTGAATCATTGCAGATTCAGAATTTTTTGCGAGGTTTTCTCAACACAATATTCCGATCTCAAAATTAGAATCATGAAAAAGTCGATTTACTTTATTCTATTATATTTTGTTATGTTCTGTTCTATTTCTTTCAATTCTAACAGTATTCTATTAAAATATGAATAAACGGACAGACAATCTACAGATATTAATTATGTGTCTATTATCTCCTAAGCTTTTCATGTTCGCGGCATAAAGAGATTGATTTAATATAGCGAAGATGAAAGCCGCCATTTGAATGAAATTATAACTTGATCACTTGCAAACGCAGAAGGTTTCTATTTAAATAAAATACTCTGTGAAAACCTCTCATCATATTTCTGTTTACTTTAACCAGTAGGAAGCGGGAACTGCGTAATTTGTATTGGATATACAAAATAACATATTTAGAATTTAACTTATCTATAGTATACGTTATGTTTGATAAGGAAACATCAAAGTTAATAAATCCCTTAGAAGTTTATTGTTCTCTCTCTACCTAAATTGTTTATTTAAAATCTCTCTTGTACATAATAAAGAAAACATAAGGAATAAGTTAAGTATTGAACAATGCAATAGTAGACTAATTCTTTCAAGAAATAGGTATCTTCAAGTCAGTAAAAGTAAAGAAAATATTGTATTAATGTTTTCATATGGAAGAATTAAGTTCAATACATCAAAGAGGGGAACACGTTGCTATTCTCGAAGGATCTAAGATTTTTTTTAGTTTTTGGTACACTGATGTAATTGGATATCCCGTTTTCGCTATTTGATATGGGAGATGGAGTTCTCGAAGTGAAAGAAGAAAAGGGCGGCTAGAATAATAGATTAATATAGAATCCTGTAAATAATGGTACGTATGTCTATTTGGATGGATGTCCTATTTCTGAGAATAATGTGGTAAAATTATTCAGTTTTAATGATGGAATACTTGAAAGAATGTTAATTATTGCAATTATATCCTCCTTCTAATTGTGAATTCATTTTGACGATACTTATTTTGTGTTTTGTCATACTAATTGTATGTATCAAGATTGAAAATGATATTTTATGCACAAAATTTTAATTTATTCATATTTCTCTTTGAACTTTGAACGTGATTTATGACTTTTAATAGCTTAGACCTGGTTTCCAAAGTTATAATGCTAAAATTGGCTTTTAACGGTATACCTACCTCAAACACATATTAATCTTTCCTGTTTGCAGGCTACGATAAGCTTTTGTCCATAAATTTCAATATTTTGAATTTGCAACGCAGAATGAATGACGATTTTATCAGACTTCGTGTCATCTGTGATTTTATTAATGATTTTGTTGTTAAATTAATTTTACTTCTTGGTTTCTTACTTGTTATGACATTTGATTGTGAGTGTAGACTGAACATCTATAAAGTTGATAAGGAAATCTTCAATAAACCCTATTCATCGTGTTTAATTTTTGAAGTAAGATGGACTATTAGGTTCATATTTTTTACAATAATATAGGTAGGACTTTGATGCATTAATAGAATCTGAATCCATATTCCCTATCTTGTAATGGAGTAAAAAACAGAATTATATCACCATTCTCTGTCATCTGCAGGAAGTTGTAAAAGGTGACGAAGGAAACTAAATACAGTATATTAATTCAAGAGAAAGAAAACTTTAAATGAAACCCAATACTAATAAGTTCATTAAATTCTCCATGTCTAGTTTTTTTTTTAATGGATGATAATGGAATGGTAACCCTGTCTGCGCTAACGGTGTATGCTGATGGAGCACCAGTGAGGGATGACAGGCGAAGATTAAAAGGCAAGTCAGTTAGCCCATCGTATGAATACATCTGGAATTCAGCAAGATGGTTTCCAGGGACCATGTGAAGATCGCCCTGACAAGTTCGATGTCCAGTTATATAAGTATAAAAAGCTATATCCTTCTTTTATGGGGAGAGACGTGTTAATAGGTTATTAAGCAGGTATTCCTCTGTACCCTGTAAATTCATTGTTATATTCCACCCCTCAAACTGAAACAAAGGCATGCAAACATAACTGCTTCACGGTAGAAACACGAATAGGACAGAGGTACCCAAACATACGACTTTTGTACAAAGTCTCCCTCTAGTAAACTAGTACAACTTCACCCATATAACGCAATATGCGCATTTCAATGGTATGTAGTTTATTATTTATTTGCTAACTTTAAACCCTATTTATTATAGTATTTTGTGTACAACTATGGTAATGGTATAAAAAAATCATTGTCCTTTTCATTAATTATCTACACAATAACTGCAGTAAGTCTATTTTAGTGCTACGCTGCATCAGAATCAATACCTATTGTATTTATATCCGTCGTTAGTAGTTCATCATTTGCATGTTTCGAAATGCACAATTTGACTTGCATAGAAGGGCGCATCCTTTAGTACCGTTCGTCATCCAGCGTCGTACGGAATATTTACAACTAGAAAACTATGTCAATCATACTATAAACTGGTCCCATTAAGTTATCGATGACTGTCAAATAATAATGAATTTGTTTACCGCTTTGTTAATCTCCATGTGATGACTGATGAGTATTAATATTTTGTGTACATGACATACAGACGCCAGATTTGTTTAGTGGCTAATTATAATATCATAGTCCATTGTAATTATCAAATAGATTGCAATAGATTGTCTAAGAGAGGAGTCAGCGATCTGTGGATAGAGCTTGTATATATGAATTGAGTTATGAAAATGTATGAAGCAAAAGATGATTGGTGTAAGGCCATTTGCAATCTATTCTGTCTGCTAATCAAATATGAAACGAACATAAGATATAAGTAGTTTGTATTAATATACACGTATAAGTGACTATATGTACATGTATAGTAACTATATAGTATAACTATATGACTATATCTAAATATTATTATTTTATTAATAATAATAATTTTTTATTATAATGTATATAGATAGCCAGACTTAAACTTTTAGATATGGACGGTGATTTAGTTGATATAATAAGTAGATCGACTTCCTATAGGTATATTATATGAATAGAATTCCCGAAATAATATCATTTAACAAAATTCATTCAGTCA